AGCTGGCGTCGTGACATCGAGGCCGACATCGGACGATGTCGCCATCGTGAATATACCCTTTTTCTGTTCTGTCTCCTGCCGTATATTTGATATTTAGGCCCACGTTTGTTCCTCACTTGTTCGGTTTCCTTCGACGACATTCCTTTGTCTGATTTCATGTGTTTATTCTCGTTGTCTCCTACGTGTCGTAGCCTTGGCGTCGTGATACCCGGAACTCTTCGAGTTCCACTTATACCAGACCGTACGATAGCAGCACCTCAGTGTTCGCTTCCCGCGCATCGACTGAGGTGAGACTCTTCCTATTTTACTCGTTTTCTAGACACGTACTTACCCTCGTTTTGTAGTCTAACTTATCGTGTCTAGGTGAATAGCATATAGCGTTCGCTTCCCGCGCATCGACTGAGTCTAACTTATCGTGTCTAGTGTCTAGTCGACGCGCTCTGTATCTACTCGTAACCTGAAACCGTGAGCTCTTCGCGAAGCAGGCGCGCTCCTCCTCCAAATTCCTGGTCCAGCGCGACCAGGCAGAAATCACGCCTTACGGCCCGGACTTCTCATACGAAGAGTTCATGGTCCTGCCGAGCACGACCGCAAGCGTGATTTGGAGCTTCATCATGGCAGTCGGCGCGCTCCTGTTGATTAATTTTACGATGGTGAGTGTGTATGGTTGATTCATGGTAGAGCAAGTACATACTGACAAACGTCTGCGCGGAAATAGGCGCGCCGGCTCTTCCGTCGCATTATGCCGAAGCCAGGAGAAGGACCGTCCGACGAGTCAGTATATAGTCTCATCATTGTACACAGGAATGGAGGAATAAGAAGCTAGCTGAACTCATGTATAGGCAACTGCAGAAGGGCAAACTCGAGGTGATCAATGTGACCACCTCCGTACCAGATCCATCCAAGAGCGGACGCACCGTAAGCGTGCGCAGCACGCTCAACGCTCGCGGCGACGCAGCTTACCTTGTCTCTTCCAGTACGTTCCCCGTTCCCATCGTCTCACTTCCGAGATATCGGTCCTACTGATGTCTATATCAGTTCTAGTCGCAGAGTGTGCTTTGGCTCTCGCTCTAGACCACGATGCACTGCCCGCGTGTGCAAGGGAGGGCGGCGTGCTCACACCGGCGATCGCCTTCGGAGGCGTTCTTATCGAGAGGCTGAACCGCCTCGACGATAGGTTCAGGTTCGAGAGTGAGATTACTGTACCTACACGACCGTAGGTTCGTCACGCCACACGCTTGACCCCTAAAATGAACTTAAGACCTGGTTCGTCACCCATCCAATAAGACAATGAACCTCACCGCGTGACGGAAAAATATTAGGACTCTTGTATTCTAATGTAGTAAAGCCGTTCGCTGCAGTGGGTGTTTTCTGCATTCTTTGTGCTGTGTTTAAGAATTTCGAGACACTCACCGCGACCACAGTTGACCGGGGATGGAATGTCGAGCTTCCCACTAGTGGCAGGCTTCAATGTTTAAGTCATACCAGCGGCGAGGGCTTGAGATGCCTGTATACAAGCCTAATAGACGAAGGATACAGATATTGTAAAAGATGGTCCGTGTTGCCTTCAACTTCTCTTTCTAATGAAACATCCTCTTGACCTTTGTTGTTGCCTCGTTGTCTGGCAGTGATGCCTTGACGATGTCACCACCCTGGGACCCTGGTTCAAAATCACGCGTTCGCCGGACATTTGAACTTTGGTCTCGTCCGAACTTATCTTGATTCCGTGTCACGCAAAAATCCCTTGAACCTACGGTCGTGTAGGTATAGTATACTGGACAATGAGCAGTGAACTGGCGGACGGTGGGTTGTAGATGGAAAAAGACAGTGATTAGACTGTAACGGGCTCGAAGGTGAGTTTCGTGTTAGTGATAGTCATCGAGGTGCTAACGCAGAATTAGGCATACTGTGTCCTTGGGTCACTAAATTGTTCGCACATTCTTTGTATCAAAATGTACTTCTAGTTTATCAATCAAGATCGCACGTATCTTTCGCACCTCCCAAGGCTGACGCGGAGCCCCTCCTTACTGCTTGCTATTAGACAACTCATTTCTCGATTTAGTAGGAGTGGTGCTGGTATATGTATACAAGTCCGGCCCTTCGGGAAGCACTTCGGACTCGACCCAAGGCACCAAGGCGAGCAAGTTCTCTTCATCTTTGACCCTGCTGTATAGACCGATCTGATATATCCCGTAGGACGCGAAATCATTCACATCATATCAATGTGCCGGGAATCGGGCAACGAGACTCGGACAATGTCTGCTTCGTCCCCTTCGACGAAGTTCATTTACTGGCATGTCTCCGACATGAGCGTGGTCCTGGCCTGAACAAAGCCCACTCGACACGCTCTTCTTTCTTCTCTCTGGTTCACGGACTTGTTACGCGGCCGCAACATCTGGGATTCAAGTGGTCGGTATTTTTAGAACTGTAGACGTGGTCTTTCCCTTGAGCCAGCGGCCTTACCGGGGACCACTGCGATCTACTGCGATAGTTGCCTTGGTCATGTAACACTGGTGAGCCCATGGCTCACCTTGCTTCAGTGCTGGGACAACAACGCTTTGACATGGCCAACCACCTAGGCTCTCAATTAGCGCCGAGTGCGCTCTTGGATGTCCGGCCACAGTGCGACCACATAGGGATTTAGCCTCTCGGTTTTCCCGGGGTACAACGCTCGTACGTAGTCGTACAGCCCTATAGCATGGACAGGGCACTCCGTGTAACGCCCGTGGTCGTATAAGAACTAACGGGTTGGACTTGATAATGCTCCTTACAACCCACTTGGCTCTCGCTTCTCCTCTACAAAAACCTCGCAACCAGCCCTATCAAACCAGACGACAACTATGGTCCTCAAGATCTACGGCTTTCCCTTCTCGACTGCCACCCGCCTCGTCGTCTTCGTCTGCAAGGAGAAGCAGATTCCTTACGAGCTCATCACGATCGACCTCTTCAAGGGCGAACACAAGCAGCCCGCATACACCAAGTTCCACCCCTTCGGCCAGGTTCCGTACATCGTGCGTTTCGCTTTCTCTTTCCCCTAGTTTTCCTCTGTACAGGGCAACTTGACTAAACGCTGGCATATTGCATGCGTGTAGGATGACGACGGCTTCATCCTCTTCGAGTCACGCCCAATCGTCCGCTACCTCCTCAAGAAGCATGCATCGCAGGGCACGCAGGGGCTCTTGCCCACGGACCCCCAGGCCGAGGCACGCGCCGAGCAGGCGCTCTCGATCGAGGCGAGCTCATTCGACCCCAACGTGTCGGGCATCGTCGCCGAGCTGTACTTCAAGCCGTGAGTCCTTGAACTTGATCTGTGTCCCAATAAAGCACCTTGCTGATTATGCCACTTATGCAATCGTTGGATCTACGCTATAGTCAACGCGGCCTCAGCACGGACGAAGCGAACCTCGCCCGTTTGAAGGAAACGTTGAACGAGAAGCTCGACGCGTACGAGGTCATCCTCGGCAAGCAGAAGTTCCTCGGCGGCGACGTAAGTAGCCCGTTGTCCCTTACAAACTCTATCCACAACTAATCTATCGCCTGCCGATATCCAGAGCATCACCGTCGGTGACCTCGCACACGCTCCCTACGGTACGCTCCTCGAGACCGTCGGTCAGGGCGAGTTCTTCACGTCGCGCCCCAACGTTGCCAGGTGAGTTGTTTTGTGCCGTTTTCAGTCTTCGAGTCAGACTCACGGGTGTTTGACAGGTGGTGGAAGGAGGTCACCTCCCGTCCTGCCTGGGAAGCCGTCAAGGCTGAGTGCGTACTGTGATCTGAGCTTTATACACGCAGACTAGAGTAGTGCTTTGTGTGGTATCTTGTATCGATTTATGTACAACGGAAATACACTACTAAATAAATCGACGCTTGAGCGTCGTTGACAAGTCTTGTGTACTGTGGGTAAACAAACAGCGATATTATCTGAGACGAAATCAAGGAAAAGAGACGGCGAGATGAAAGCCTTTGCCTCCCGAGTCTCGTCCCCCTTTTTGCACAGGAAACAGTATTCTTTTAGCCAACATTTGTGTCGATTTTGCGCCGGTAAAAGGTACAACATACTGTATTTGGTACTAGCCATTCCGATTTGGACATGCTAAAATCTATTCTCCGCCCCAAAATGCACACACCGAGACGAAATTTTCGTTTTTCAGTGATTTTTTTAAACAGCGACTGACTGGAAAGGTTTTCATCGGTACGCCTGTTTCAATCACTTTTCGTGGTAGGAAAATCGCAATTCATCTGTAGTGTGTGGATGCGCAAAGTGAGAGCCACATAGAACTCCGACAGGTCGGACTTTTGATCCACCTTGGAATCCCTCAGTTCACTAGCATCGAGATTGATGATATGACCGCCGCCCAACGCGAGGAGGTAGCGCAGCAGTTCGTGAGCCACAGCGCTGAAGTGACCAGGCTCCAAAAGGATATTGCACTTCTCGCTGGATCCGGGGACGGGGCTCAAGGGGAGCCTCTGGGGGAGGGTTCCGAGCGCCGGAGTGGACAGGAGGTTGAGATTGAGCTCACTCTGGTCAAGAAGACGGTCATCTGGCTTGCAGAGGATCTCAAATCAAAGAGTAATGAGCTCAGGGTGCTTAAAGCAAACCAAATCAAGCGCAAGTGGGACGAATGATGTGGTAGGTGGCGTTGTAGCCAAGAGAAGACTGATGAAAGTAGTTTTGCAGGGATTTAGAGACTGCTATGACCATGGGTGAATTCAGCGAACAGCTTCTGCGACCCAGTAATGGCGGCGCACTGTATTACTGCACCCGAATACTAGGGTCGGGGTTTCAACGTTTCCGAACGTGGCCCACATGAGTGTAGAAATTCGAGGTCGCACGGGCTCGCGACGACGCACAGCGCGTTTGTCCTGGGCGAGGGGAGGGTGCCCGAAGGGCAATCGCGTGAATAATACGAGTAGCTACGACAAGATTATATACCTAAATAAGACTCGGAATCTATACTATAAATCGACACGTCATGATGCGAGCGATATCGAACAGATAATTCCAACAATGAGATCTTGAGATCTTGAGATCTCGAGGCCCTTTGAGCGTTCTGCTTGGTACAGGACCTCCACCTAAACACAGGGCTCGACGTCGGAATGCCGGGTGGACCAGGCTACCTCGAAAAATCGACGCCACCTTGTCGAAATAGCCCACGGCTGTCTTGAGACAGTCATCGGGGAGACAACAGGGTCTCTTCAAAGTGCTAATATTAGTATGTGCTAGCTAGGTAACCAATCCAAGTAGAAAAACGCCACAAGCGCCGTCAAGCCTTCCGACGTCAGAAGGGTGGATTCGAAGTCGCCGCTTTCGTCAATATTTGCTGTCAATATTGGCGCTTAGCCGCACACCGGTTTAGTTGGCTCTGGGATTCGTGTGAGCATTGAATTGCTCGGGAGCGCCTGTCCCATACACGAGGTGCACATGCTGTCATGCGGCAGGCCTCATCGATTGCAAGCTCCTCCTCGTCTACAAACCGCCACCATCTCTCAGAACAGTATGTCCTCGTCTCTCAGATTGAACTCATCTCACTAAGCCAAGCAGATATGAACCGTGACTACTGGAGGGAGCTTGCAATGGCCTGTGCTCAAGGCGCCATTTACGACTCCACCGAGCGTCAGCCGTATCCCAAGTGTCTTCCGGGTACTAGAACAGAGTTCCTCGAATCGCTTCGAACGACAGTTCATTCAGAGCCTCCGAACATCATTTGGATCGTGGGGGACTCTGGGTCGGGGAAGTCGACGGTATCACACACGTTGGCGGACGAGCTTCGCGAAGAGGGCTTGCTTGCAGGCACGTTTTTCTTTTCACGGTACTCCCCTCAACGCAGCACTTTCGGCCTCGTCTTCCTCACCCTCGCCTATCAGCTCGGGCTGAAGCATGCAAGAGCCCAAGCAATCATCACGAAAGCCATCTCCGACGACCCTTCCCTCCTCGATCCCGCCAAATCCCCTCGCGATCAGCTCGAGAAGCTCGTCATTCAAGTTTTGGAGTGGTTCAACGTCCCAGGTAGATGGGCAGGCAAGAACATGTCCATCATCTTGGACGCCCTTGACGAAGGTATATCCGAGTCGAAAGGCGTACCAGCAGCTCTCATTCAGCCTTTCATCGCACACCTTGTTCGCCTCATCCGGGATTCCAGACTCCCCATTCGCAACATCATCATCTCTAGTAGGCCATGGCCCCAGATCGAGTACGTGATGCGCAATCCGGACTTTGGCGACATCCTTCAAATCAAACCGCTCGGCGAATCAGCCAACGATGTCACCAAGTACTTACGACACTCCTTCCAGCAAATACGCGCCTCCCACCATACATCGTTATTCCGTTCAGGTCCATGGCCACCCGAGGAAGACATCCGGATGCTATCGGAGCGGTCCAGTGGCCGGTTTATTTTTGCAGCGACCATAATTCGACAGATTAACCAAGGCGAGCCTCATCGCCGCCTTGCTCTGATATGCGGCATGCTGCGCGGCAAGGTGCGACGGACCTGGGGCGACGTCCATGACCTGTACAAATCCATCATCGACGATATCGACGAGCCCACTCGTAAAAAGGGCCTATACTATCTCTCCCTCGTTGTTCATTTGAAACGGCCGCTATCTTTACCCACGATGGACTGGCTGTTCGGAGACCATGTACAGCCATACCTTATCCCTTTCTCAGCTCTCGTCTCGGTTCCTCTACCCAACTCGGATGGTGCTGTCCGTCCCTTTCATGGGTCTGTTCGAGACTTTTTGCTGAAACCCGAGGAAATTGAACGCTTCCAGGTTCATGTATCCGAGCCACATCTAGACCTCTCCCGTTATTGCCTTGATGCACTTCATGAGGGAAGGTGCTTGGTTGATGCGTATGAATCAGGGCCAAGTTACGTTTTTGACAATTTCCTCACGCATCTTCGTCAGTGCAAGCACAGCAACGATCTTCAAAACCTTCTTGCCGACTTTTTGGAGGATGTCTTTGATGGTTTACTGGAGAAAATAAGACCGCTGTATCCATCATGTGTCACTTTGAGTTTTGTTAGAAAAGTTAAATACGGGATGAAAGACATCATTGAAAATCATGAGGTAAGGCCGACTTTTCCCCATACAGTAGATGCCATCATCTCACACAGGATCTGGCACTCCGGCGGAACAAGAACACATCTACATACCCGGCGAATCTGTGGACGGTATGCCAGAGGAGAATGGATCAGGCAGAAAGAAAGTACCCCCAGGCATACCTCAAGTTACTGATACAGAAAATGTCCAAAATCAAAAAAAGAGTAGGATCTCAGAACTGTAGAGTTTTAAAAAGACTTCTCACGTCCCTCTAGAAACACATTGAAGTTCTACGCGAACTCTCGGAAGTCCTAACGTTATTCCCGTCTTATCTGACCCTGTAATGTCATTTACTCTGATTCTTCAGGTCGATGCAGGCGGAACTTGAACGGATATCCGTGAACAAACAAAGGCGGGACATATCCGACGTGCGCGAGAGACGTAGTGAGTGGTTGTACCGTGTAAGTTATTACCGCTGATCTTAAAGGACAGCTTGAAGCGTGTAGATGGATTTCGCTCGATGCGTCGTATGTTAATATTTGACGGGGAGGATAGTAACGGAAGCATCAATACAAGCGAGCGCATTGCAGGCGCAGCCGCTACCGGTCAGACGAATTGTGCTAGAACTTCTGCAAATATATGTTCTTCAGTCATTTGCGTGGGACCAGGTCATAGTCAGCACGAACATACTAGCAACGGACGCGTACGATACCACAGAACAACTCATTTACTTTCTTCGTGCCCACGACAAAGGGAGATCTATCATGTTCACGCCATCTAGGCATCACTGCAAGACGTCGACTGCAATCAAGCTACAAAGCAGAATAAAATAACAAACAAAAACACATCAAGTAAACTACAAAACCAATCGACAGATCGAGCGTGCTACCAGACGAGACGAATCAAGACGAGGAAAAAAAAACACAGTTCGTATGAGCGTGTAAGTAACCGTGTTCGGATCAATGTAGGTGCGGGTGCGAGTGCGGTGTATCTACGTGGGGCAGGTATGTATATATGTACGTACTGTACAGTGTGCCAGTCATTGGCTGATCGAGACCGTGTATGTGTGTACAGAGAGCGAGGACGACGCATCGGATGCGTACTAAGGCATCGGCGATTGATTGCTAAACGGAACGAGAGGACGGTGGCGATACATATACATGTAGAGTACGGTGAACGAGAGACGTAATTGTGAGAGCAGAGGGAGCATGAGCAGACGTGAGCGGGTTTTTGGGCGTATGGGCATAAGTGGGAGCGTGCGGGCATAGACATGGGCGTAGATGGATGGTGCAGGTGGACATGGGGGGCGTGTAGATGGTGATGCTAGATGGAGGATGGATGCGGGCACACACTGTACATGGGCGGGTGGCGGGGAGTGGGGGATGAGTGAACATCCTGGATAGTGACTAGTGATCAAGCAAGGTGCGCAGAACAAGTTTTTGCGGACAGATACGGAAAGCGGAGGATGCGATGACGAGAGCGAGAACAGGGAGGACCGATGAGCAAAGCGAGGCAGAGGTACGATGCAACGGTCAGCGAGAACGGGCCGAGAGTATGCTTGACAAGACAGGACATTGGATGCGCAGATGGGTAGATGAGAGCGGCGACATTCGACCAACGATAAATCCCCAACGAATGGGACCAAAACTGAGATATGGGTTTCGAAATCTCCAAAGGATCCAAAGGAAATCTCCTCCTCCTCCGCTGGCCCCCCTACCGGATCAACCGCCCATAATCCAACGCACTCTCCCGCCTCTCGCCCCCACCCACGCGCGGAAACGCATTCCAGAACCTCAGCGTCTCGTCCCCCGCCCCCGTCACAATCGTCTCCCCATCCGGACTCATCGCAAGGTACAACACCCTCGCCGCATGCCCACTCAGCGCACCCACCATCTTCTGCGCCGGATACCGCCACACGCAAATTTGGTTCTGCGCCGTCGTACTGCTGAACCCGTGCGTGCTCACGAGCTCGTGCGACGTCCTTGACCACATCAGATTGCACACCTGGCTCCCCGTGTCCAGCTCGCTCAGCATCGTCCCGCTCAGCGTGTTCCAGAACCGGATGTGCTTGTCCTGCGTGCCCCCGCCTGTCGCGAGCAGCCCCGACACGTGCGGGTCCCACGCGAGCGCTTTTACGGCCGCTGTGTGCTCGTGGAACTTCCACAGCGGTGCGTCCGACTCTTCCGATGTGTCCGTGTTCGCGCCGTTGGCCATCGCCCCCGGCGCTGTGGCGGATGCAGAGTTGCCGCCGACGATAGGCTGAGGAGCGGCAGTGCCAGAGGACATGGTGAGCGAGCTCCCAATCGTCGCGCTGCTCGCGCCGCTGCCGAGACTCCCGTGCGAGCCGACACCACCACCCAGCCCCGTCCCAGTCCCCATCCCACCACCTCCACCGCCTCCTGCCCCTAACCCAAATCCACCCCCACCCAACCCACTCGCCCTCTTGCTCCCCCTCAAATCCCATATACAGACCTTATTATCGTTCCCCCCACTCGCAAGCGCCGCCCCCTGCGGCCCGCCGTCCTCGCTCCACTTGAGCCCGCACACCTCCTGCCTGTGCCCGACGCTGCGGCGGAACGGGCGCGTGCCGGGCGCGCGCACGTCGCGGTGGTGCACAGAGCGGTCGCGCGAGCCCGACGAGAGGACGTGCGAGGACCACGCGAGCGCGCCGATGCGCTGCTGGTGCGCGGGCATGTACGAGCGCGCGAGTGTGAGCGTGTGCGCGTCGTAGATGTGCAGCCGGCCGGAGACGGTGCCGACTGCGAGGGTCGAGCCCTATCAGATAATAGAGGGTAAGATATCAGATAGGGTGAACGGAGAACGAAGAAAAGGGGTAAAAGCGCACCTTCTGCACCCACGACACCGAGCTGACCGTGTCCCCCTGCGGACCAAGATCGCACAGCTTCGACACGGCCGCGTTGTGCGCCGTCCAGAGATACACGCAGCTGCCAAGCCCCACGCCGAGCACGTTCGTGCTGCTCCAGTCCACGAGGTTGAGGTAAAAGTCGTCCGCGAGCTCCGGCGCGTCCAGCACGCGATACGGCGTCTTGCACATCGCGCGTGGCGCGCGGCGGGGCGACTCGAGCAGGGTGCGCGAGGCGGCGCGCACGGGGGAGAGGGCGTATGCGGCGTCCGTAGGCGTGTCGAGGCCGCGGCGCTGCGGTGGGGTGCCTGGGGGATTGGTGTTTGTGCTGACGACGCCGGACATGGGGCCGGTGCCTGGAGAGTGGTATTGGAAGATGCGGCGGCGCGTGGGGGTGGTGGGCATGGCGGACGCGGGTGTGTGTGTCGCAGATGGACGCTGTGGGGAGCTGGGGCACGAGGGGCGGGGCGGGGTGACTTCGGTGTGGAGGATGGAGTTGAATATCGCGTTGGCTTGTTCTGGGGGGTGATAGATGTCAGCGTCGATCACGGCGAGGAGGCGACGGACATACCTTTGAGAGCGTCCGATTCGGTGGGGATGATCCGGTTCTTGGACGGGGTGGATGGGGTGGAATCCTCCATGAGATGGTAGGACGTGCGCATGTCGCCCGTATCGCGGGAGGGCACGAAGCGATCGCCGTAATCCTTGCTCTTGCCACGCTCCGTCGCGGCCGTCGAGGGCCCCGCGCGTGGGCCAAACGCGTCGCCTGCATCGTCCCAGTCGCGCTTGCGGCTGTTGGTTCTGGGTCGACGCGTCGGACTAATGTTCATGGATGTATGCGCGTTGTTGTGGTGGGCGGGGGCAAAACTGGGCTGGGAGGGGGGCTGGACGAGGGTGGGCTGGGACGAGGCGAGCTTGGAGGAGGCCATGGGGGCGGGTGGGGTGGAAGAGGAGGCGGAAGTGTCGAGCGAAGGGGCCGGGGACGCGCCGGGGGCAAACATGGGGTTGATGCGGGCGCGGGTTCGGCGGGGAGAATCGTCGTCGGTGTCGTGGTGGGATGCGCGGAGACGTTTGCCGAATGTGGAGTTTTTGAGGCCGGCCATAGTTGTTCAAGCCAATGATTGTCAAATTGTAGTATATGTATGCGGGTGTGAGTATGTCAAGGTGAGGAGGGCGCGGTGGCCTGTGACGGTGGCGGGCGGGGACAAACGAACAGGATTGGGTGAGTAAGCGCCCAAGCACAAATTCAAGGGGCGACTCACAAGAGCACTCGATCAACAAACATCCTCAACACCCCTCAACGTCCCCACCACCATCCACAACGCGAATCCACGCGTCGAACAGCATCTCACCGACAGAGACAACCCACCCAGCCGTGTTCACAACTCGGCCAACGTCCCAGACTGCCCTCGACGTTGAGCAAAACTTTCCGGCACGCGCCGTGGATTCAGTCTCCGCCTGAACGTGGCCCCTCACCCAGCGGTGGATCCGGAGCGTCAGGCCACCGGAGAGCATGAACGTAAGCAGCCGCATCTCGACATGTCAGAATATATCCTGACATATCCACTCAGAATCTCCTCCGCACCCTCACAGAGAGCCAGGTCGCCCACTCACCAGACCTCAGGCTCCTCCTCTCCAACGTAAGGGACATCAGAGTGCGTCGTCTGCTAATCCTCTAGGCATGCTGTGATGTTGACATTGTCCACGCACAGAGGCAGGGTGATGCCAAACTCACAGAACCCTTCTACGATGCTCTCGAGGACCTCTTGCACGACCTCCGCACCGTCACCATGGACAACCGTGACGCCGAGGCATTCCTCAAGCCCGTCTCCAAGTCAGACGTCCCAGACTACTACGAGGGTGCGTGTCTCGTCTTCCCACGCACTCCGCTAGGGGCTTTGGGTAGACACAACAACAGAAATCAGCGGCTGACTTGGTATCCGTACAGTGATCCAGCACCCAATGGATCTCCAGCAGATGCTCAAGAAGGTCAAGGCAAAGTCCTACAAGTCCAAGCGCGAGTTCAAGGACGACCTCGACCTCATCTGGTCCAACTGCTTCACCTACAACTCTGCCGAGGTGAGTCTCGCCTTCTTACCTCCTCTCTTGCCCATCTATCGCATTCCGCCGCATCCGTACCCGAGTAATCTAATCCAACAAACACCAGAACCACCCCCTCCGCCAATGCGCAATCCGCCTCAGAACCAAAGCCGAACACCTCCTCGCCAACATCACAGACCGCAAAGAGCGCCTCGACCCCACTCTCCCCTTCCCCACCACCACCGCCACTGCTACCCTCAACTCCATCTCCACATCCACATCAACCACATCCGCGCTCTTCCCCGGCAGCCGCGCCTCCACCCCCGGCGCAGCGCGCGGCGGCACCCCCACCCCGGGCGTCGCACAGCGTCGCATGGTCAACGGCTCCTCGGGCCCTGCCACCGGCGCGTCGAGCCACTCGCGGTCGAGGAGCAGAGCGGGATCAGGCACGAGTGCAACGGCCGCGAGCCTGTTTCCCGAGCGCGCGGGAAGACAGGCGGGCGCGAAGCGGCCGTCGTCGAATGGCGTTGGGGTCGGGGTTGCGTATACGAAGAGGCCGGAGACGCCGTTTGGCGATGCGCCTGCGCTCGTGCGCACGCCGGAAGGGATGGCGCTCTGGGCGGCGCTCGAGTTGGAGCGCGATGCGACGACGCTATCGCTCCCGGAGGAGAGGGCGAGGGTGAAGGCGCAGCTCATGCATTTTGCGCGCGGAGGCGATATTGCGTTCGGCAGTACGAATGGGACGGTGGTGAACGGGACAGCGGCGCTCGTGAACGGGATGGGCATCAAGATGGAGGTCGACGACGATGCGTATGGACGGCCAAAGAAGCGCGTGCGGCTCACGCCGCCCGAGTCTAGGATGGACGTGGACGGCGTCAGTCCCGTCGATCCCGATGATGCCGATAACGACGACGACGAGGCGGGCGAGCTGTGGTGGGCCGCCGTGCAGAACGATGTGCTGCGCGCGAACGCACTCCCGCCGCTGCCTAGCATCGCCTCTTCTTCCCTCCCGCCTTCTACCTCCTCCAAGCTCCGATCACCCCCATCTACATCCTCGAAACTCCAACACCCATTCACAACCCCCGTCAAATCCTCCCCATCCCCCGCTCTCCACATCGCCACATCAGGCGCATCAAAGCCCCCAATAAAGAAGAAGAAAACGAAGAAGCGCACCGCATCCAAATCCAAGTCCAAATCCAAATCCAAGGGAACGTCGAAGAAAGAAGACCCCGCCGCCACTCAGCAGAACCAAGACGGCCCCCCGCGCACGCTGCTCGCGCTCATGAACGGCAACATCCGCACGCTCAAGCGTGTCCGCCGGACACACGCCAAGTTCGCGGCGCTTAATGCGGCCACGGCGGCTGAGGACGCTGCTGCTGCCGCCGCCGCCTCTGCAGCTGCTGCAGCTGCCAACGGCGGTGCTGGGGTGCCTGGTGCTGGAGGGGGTGTTGCAACGGTCGCAGGCGCGGGGGTAGGAATGGGACTGGGAGGAATGGGAGGGCTGGGGGAGGAGCCGCCGGAGGTGGGCGAGGATCCGGATGCGGTGGATGATGAGCGGGTCGATCCGCGGCCGTGGAGGGTGCATATGCGCGGGGTGCCTGCGCCCGGCGTGAAGAGGGATACGGCTGGAGGCGAGGTGGACAGCGGACTGGGCAGGGAAGGCGAAGGTGAAGGAGAAAGGAGAAGGAAAGGGGAGGATGCGGATGTGGGCGAGGAGAACGCGAGCGAGTGTCTCAAGTGGATGAACGGGAAGGTGTTGGAGCATGTCGGGTTCCACGGTGCGTTCTGTGCTCGCGTTGTGCGCTGCATAACATTGGCCGCAGCTAGCTGACCGCACGTTCCTTTTTTCTCCCGCCCATCCGCTTCCGCCCATGTATCCTACGCACACACCACCGCCGTGCCCCGCCCACAGGCAGCTCACGCGTCGCACTCGACGTGCTCGCCGGCGTCGCGTCCGAGTACCTGCTCAACGTCGGGCGCACGCTGCGCTTCCTCGTGGACAAGTACGCGACGTCGATGACGCCCGAGGAGATCCTGCTGCACGCGCTGTTCGAGAGCGGCATCACGCGCGTGACAGACCTCGAGCGCTACATCCAGGACGACGTCGTCCGGTACGGCGCGCGGCTCGGCGATCTGGAGAAGAAGCTCGTCGGGGCGTATCGCGAGGCTGTGAGTCCCTTTTTCTTTTCTTCCTTCTCTCTCTCTTGCGCGTGGCGGCGATGGTGATGGCGATGTGCTGATGGATGCGAATTGTAGACGGCGGTGGAGGCGCTCGACGACGAGGCGCTCTTTGCGAACGCGGACGACGAGGAAGAGGAGAGCGCGTTTGTGATGGGCGGATTCACCGACGCGCTGGGCGACGACTTTCTCGGCCTGCGCGAGCTCGGTATCGCGGCGGAGCTCGGGCTCTCGGAGCTCAATGTCCCGCGCAAGCTGCTCAAGAGCAAGGCGAGGGCGGGCGCACGGGATGCTGCTTCGTGCGTGTTTTTTACTTGTCACTCTTTTCACCGGCTCGGGGGGCTGACAATACGATGACGATGGTTCAGGGCAAAACCGAAGGAACCACCCCCGCCGTATCCGCCCCCGCCCCCGCTTGTCCAGCTCAGCGCGCGCGCGGCGGACGATCAGATCGGGCTGCTCGGGCCGTACTACCATGGGCGCTTCGTGGCCGTTGCGCAGGCCCAGGCGGCGATGGCACCCCCGCCGATGCCCGTGGCGTTGCCTGGTCCTCCGATGCCCTATCTTCAGGGCTTGCCTGGGCCGTCGATACCCGGTATGCCGAGGTTACCGCCTCCGCCGAGTCTGGGTGGACTGCCAGGACCGACGCTTCCGACGCTGCCTTCTGCACCCGCCCCCGCACAGGCGCCGGCACCGGCACCAGACGCAGCAGATGGCGCCGACGCGGCCATGGACACGGCGTCCGACCACGACCAGGACACAGACACGGCGCTCGCGCTCGAGCGTGAGCTCGAGCTCTTCCAGGCGCGCGAGGAGGCCGCGGAGCGCGAGCGGCAGGCCGAGCGCGAGCGCGAAAGGGAACGGGAGAGGGAGCGGGAAAGACTTGTGTTGCCGGACGACGCGCCGCTGCCTGCGCAGGCGAAACTCGGGCCGCTCGGGCAGGTGCTTAAGCCCGCTGCGGGCGGCGCGGGCGGCGCGAGTAAGAAGAAGAAGGTGGCGACGGCAGCGGCGGTGCATGGGTCGGGGGCGGGGTCGTCTTCTGGGCCCGGGAATGGGGCCGGGGCGGTGAATGGGGAAGGGGGCGCATCTGGCTTACTGCCGCCGCCTGTGGTGCAGGTGCAGGAGCCAGGCATGGGAGGGGATGAGGTGCCAGTGGAGTCGGCGGGGATGTTTAGCGTTGCTCCTCAGGCTTCCAGTCACGCTAGTAGCGGGACAAACGGCGGGGGAGGGGGGAAGAAGAAAGCTAAGGTGGAGATGCCGCCTGTAATCGCTGCGAGTGCGTAGGCGCAGCCAACGGGCTCTTGCCACACATCCTTCTCGGTCTCCCATCAGCTCGTTGACGACCTGGCCTGGCCTTTGGGTTTGTTGGGGGGAGCATAAGGAGTCTCCCGGGTTGTATTATTGTTATTCTTCGCCCACAGCTATCTATCAGTACTCGCGTTCGCGCAGCCCTATAACCTCCTCTTCCGGAACTAGCACTATTCATCCATATTCCTCTTTTCTTTCTTTTTGGCACAAGGCTGTCTTGGATATCGACTATACCTACCCTACCACACATTTGTAGCTACTATTCACTCGTGTTAACCCATACAAGATACAGCTCCTTGAGTTGTTGTATGTCCATCCCATGCCCATGCACGTGAGCTGATGATACATAGGTGATTTGGATTTCGATGAGCAATCGGATCTGAAGAATGCATGAACGCCATGCGCTCGTAGGGCGTTGGCGTGAATATAGCGGGTCCACGTAGTATGGAACATATGTGCCAGTTGGAAAGGCAGCTTGAAAGGCATGCAACTTCCAAGTCACAGCTACACATTTTGAACCTGCTAACTCTTCTGGATAATGTGCAAGTCTTCAATTTGACTGTCGGAAAACCTTAGACTGTGTCGTCAAACTGTGAACTATGGCATGTGCTACAAACATTGTGTGGCTTAAGACCATAAACCGTTGAGGCCGGTGTGTTTACGCGAGGGCGTGGCTTGTTGCAGCATCCATTGGTATATCCCTGATGGTGGGTTTGTTGATTAAAATTCATTCCTCCGTGAGCACAAGTTAGTAATGTAGTATAAAATAATGACATGCAGGATTCGATGAGTAGTGGAGTATAATTTAAAAGCCAAAGAAAGCAGAGTGCAGCACTTGCAAGTAACGTAACGAGTATTAACAAGTAAACGAAACCACGCTCCGGTGTCCACCGAACTCGCGCACGAGCGCCCTCATGATGCGCACGACCATCACGCATACAGCGCATCCATCTCAACCTTGCCTAGCGGCCGATCGCTCGTCCCGGCGCGGCACACCTCGTCATCATCGCACCACTCCTCCCTGTCATCCCCATACACACTCCCACTCCCGTTTGCACTCGCACCCGCACTCCCATTCGCCCCCCTGTACTGGTTCTCATACCACGCATCGCTCCACACGTTCTTCGAGCGCCCCTTGTGTCCCCACCACAGCCGCTCGTTCTCGTCTTCGCCCGTGGGCCACTCGTCGACGAGATTGGCGAGTGTCTGGATGTGCCCGTATGCGGCTGGTTGCGGTCCCTTGGGATGGCGCAGCGCGATACGGGTGATGATGGAGGCGAGGAGGGCGAGGGCGAGGGTAAAGTTCCAGATCTGGGGTGGGATGTTAGATGGTGATGTCAGTATAGGAGGGAGCGTAAGGCAGAGGAGAAGAAGGACAGACGGATAACAGAGGGTAAGGAATGGGTGCAAGGAGGGTATCGTACCTGCAGGGAGCCGATCTCGATGGAGTACCCGATGATAGGCACAGTTTGGTTGTTTACAGTCTCGGTGGACGGGACGAGGGCGAGGATGAAGATGAGGTTGAACAGCCAGTCTTTTCATCCCTGGCAGTCAGTCACGCACAGAAGAGGCGCAAATGAGCAACTCACGAAGAACAGGCTTGACAGCGAACAGCAGCATCGTCGGCCAGCTTGCAAGCGTCGTCTCCACGATGGTCAACTGAGGCTTCACACCGAGAGCCTCGCCCGCCTTGCGCCAGATCGTCTCGTCCTGAATTGTGTTCACGACGACCTCGAGGAGATGCAGCGCGAGCGTGAGCCAACCCTGGCCTAGCAGCAGGGGCAGGTAGAAGAAGACCCAGAATGTGGTCGTCAGGTGGTCCGTCGACCCGTTCACGAACGTGAGCAACGGCGGGTTATAGCTGTAGTTCGCATCCGACGGGAGCGTGTTGTTTCCTGTGCTCTTCGCCAACGCGTCCGAGTCGTAAGATGCAAGGAACGTCCACTGGAACGGCCCGTTGTCGTTCCAGGATGAGCCGGTGCGCACGCGCCAGAAGATCGTCCCGCCCCAGACCGTGTACCCTGCCACGAGCACCCATAAAGCCATCACGGCGACGCGCACGCCCCTGCGCGCTTGCCAGGCTGACGGCTGCCGTCGCGCAGGCATCATCGGGTGCGCCTTGCCCTGCCCCTCGGTGGCATGGACAACCGAACACATGCTCCTGCTAGGCACATGCATAAGCTGCGAATGATGCACAAGCGCCGCAGCGGTATCGAGTGCAGTCGACGACCACGTGAGAATGCGCGTACGGATGAGCGACACGGCCGCGACGGTCGCCTGCAGCAGGACGCAGAGCGCGGCGACGAGCAGCGGGAAGCTCGACACGGTCACGATCCCCGCGTCGCTCTGCACGGCGAGGGAGGAGCTCACGAAGGCGAGGACCATTGTCGTCGCCATGAGCGCGTTCGCGAGCGCGCCGTTCGGCCCGATCCACCGCCGCTCGCGCGTATAGGTGAACAGCCGGATGTTGGTGTTGAACACGAGCCGCCGCTCGGCCGCAAGCGCGGAGCGCAGGGCGGTTGAGTGCGCGAATCCGGTGCATTCGGTGCAGATGGTGAGGGTGGTGGTGAGGCAGAGTGTGAGGAGCTCGGCGGATGCGCTGCTCGACGGGCGGCTGATCGTGCCTGCGAGCGAGTTGGACGGTTGCGCAAAGGCGAGGACGACGCCAGCGGCCATGAGGGCCAGGCCGAGGATGACAGAGACGACGAGCCCTGCGACTGCGTATAGCTCCGATAGCTTCTCTTGGGCGTGGTGCGGTCCATAGGAGTGGAGGTCAACCTCGCCCTTCGAGTTCTGGGACTCGAGGCGGGCATCGCTCGGCATCGTGGGCGACGAAGATGAGGGGAGGGGAACAAGGGACTCTGGCGCTCGGGGAGGCCCAGGTACTGCGGGGGCGTGCATCCAGCTGTCAATCTTCAGGGCTGTTCTGGTGTCAAAAGTGACAGTGGAGGTTTCTCAACGAGGCGAGCGACGTGATTCGGGTACCTCGGTATTTGCCTCCTTTGCCGTCAGCTTTACGACACGAGCAAACCACCGCGTAAGTTTTCTATCCTTTAATCGGTGATAAATCCCCGCGTATATGCATGCACCTCACCGCGCCCATGGAGCGAAAGCAGGAGTTAGAGAGCTGGTTCATCCTGATCGGAGGCAGTGGTCAAGCGCTCACTGGTCGCAACGAGGCCAAGGTCTTGCTCCGAGTTGTCAAACTGCTCGTAAACAACGCGCGTTATCCTTTGGATCATGTTCTACTTGTTCCACACACTGATTCACGACCAGTAACGCCATCCTTGAAGATTGATCCTGAGCGCACTGAGTGTCTGAGTCCTGTCCCTCGTGTTGTGGTCTGTTGTGGTAAAGGTTGGTCTACAGCACAGCCACAGGTTTGAGCTCGGCGCGACATATCCGAAAGGGGATTTCCGACAAAGAGCCCGCCGCGCCTCCCGATGACCTAACAAGCCTGCATCGCGACCGTGACAGGACAGCCTTGTCCACAGCAATTTCCATCCTCCACCCTTTGTCTTTCCCTTCTCAAGCTCACCTTACGACCACACGCTCAAGCTACCAACCATCACTATTAGACATGGCAGGAAACTACTCGGGAGTGCGTATCTCGCCGCATCATCACTTGATGTCAACAACTAAGAACGCTGATCCCAGTATGGTGCCCCATCCGGCCCACCACCTGCTTACAGCGACGGCTACGGGGGCGGATACGCACCGCAGCAGCCGTACTATCCTCCCGGATCCATCGAAGAACAGTAAGTCGTATCTCCCAAGCTGTGTCGAACCGGCATTGAGCAAGGTCTTGCCAGGGCTGCACGATGGTTTCAAATTGTCAATACCAACAACGACGAAAGCGTGTCAACGGACGAGTTGCGTCGGTATCATCTCATTATGAAACACGCTATGCGTTCTTAATCAACATGCGTTCACAGGAAAGTCTCTTGTTAGTACTAAAGGATTGCGTGCGTAGCCGTTGCATCCCTGGCCGAATCATGCTCAACTGCTTCGCCCACTATAGCATTCGATCCAGAGATAATCAAGATGCTATTGAACATGTTTGTACGTATTTCTGGTCTTTCTGTGCGATGTTATCTTATTTTCACACAGGATGTTGACCACAGCGGAACCATGAACATGCAGGAGGTAGGAACGCGCTCAACGATCAGACGTTTGCATGTTTTACCAAGTGACTTATCACGCCTTAGTTTCAAGGACTCTTCAAGTACATATCGGTTCGTTGTTTGACTACTAGGCTCGAATCTGCCCCTGATCCTCACACGACCCTATGTAGGATTGGCAAAAGATCTTTGCGCAATTCGACCGCGACAACTCAGGTAGTATGCAACGAGGAGAGTTCCAAGCCGCTCTTCACGCATTTGGGTCCGTCCACGAACGCTTCCACCACATCACATCGTGCACCACTCACCGCAAACCCCAGATTCACACTAGCCTCAGACCCACGCCTCCTCCACCTCGCCATGTGCAAATACGGTAAGCACCTCCACTCACCCGCGCCCCGCGATCACACACGAACATCACAGCCACCCCGCCCTTCCGCGCTCAAGTCGGCGATACGCCCGACATCAAGTTCGACCAGTTCATCCGTGCGTGCGTCGCGCTGCGGCACGCGACCGATGCGTTCGTCCGCCGGAGTGGGCGTCCGCCGATGCAGGAGTTCGGTGGTGGGCCTGTTCCTTCCGGGCAGGGTGGTGGACTCGGTGGGCAGGCGACGATGAACTATGCGGAGTTCTTGGAGATTTTCTTGGCGCTTCCGTGAATGTGGGAGGTATTCTTTTTACCTTTTTGACAATGCAGTGTATCGATTCGATGTGTACTAAATATGCCATCCCATGCGAGCTTGCGTACATCGCATCTCACCGCGCATCCGGCATCCGGTCTTGTGTTGAACGATGCGGTCCTGAAAGGGGACGTGTGGCAAAGCCAAAATGGCAGATCCGCAACTACCGAGCTCCTTCGATAAGGATGTTAGAACTCCCAGAAGGATCATCGCCAAGGAATTGTGACACATAGAAGAGGTGCTTGAGCTCGATTTTCATTCTTAAAGTGGAGGTAACGGACATGAGTTAAACCCAACAACGACTGAAAACCGAGGACATACGATTCTAAGTCTCTGTGATGGTGGTTGCCTTTCCCAAACTCAGGCATAAACGCTGGATTTCTGGGCCTGTACGCTCAATAGAAGTGGTGTTAATGCTAAAAGGCTGTGATGGGCATTTTTATGCATAAAGTACTTTGAGAAAACAAGTTCAGTACTAGTAGCGTAAGCGAGTCAAACGAGGACCAAACGAGAGCTGCAACCGACCTTCTCTAGAGGTAAGGCCCGCGTGACGGGCCGTCAAATAGCCGGATGGCGTGTGATTGCTTGCTAAGATGACCAAAAGTACTGGCGCTCAAGTGGGGCGCACGGCGCACTCCACTGCGCCGGGGAGGGGTTGCGGAGCTGAATTAATTTCTAAAGCCTGAGGTGGACGGCCATAACTGACTCATCCTATCCTACCTGCACCCAAAACCACCTGTCACCGCCAGCGACCTCAACGCAAGATTATGCGCTAGTACAGACGTAGCTTGGTAGGTCGTTTCTCGCCGATGGGACTGACATGCTCGACCCCGAAGATGTTCTAGCACACAGGGATATTCCGAGGGGTCTTCATGACTCTAGCGTAACCTTCCGGATGCCGTCCGTGCCGCAGGAGGGATCGGCCACTGCCCACTTGGGCTCAACTTTTTCTGCAACACATGCCTCGTTGATGAGTACACAACCCCAATCTTAAACATCTCACGGATAGGAGGCCAATTGTTGCAATAAATGATGATGCGCCGGCAAGACGAGGGTTCGGCGTGATGGTCGTTCAGAACGTTCAACCCCCCGCGTCTTCCAGCTCTGCTCGCGTTTTCTTCGGCATCACCCCCCACTCCCGGAATCAAACCTTGTCACAAATTCAGCTACGTTTTTATATCATCCCCTATGTTTGAATTTTTACCGCATGCATCAGCATGTTGTGCGTAGAATCGAATATATGCGCATCTACCAGCAGCCGGTAGCCGAGACAATCAAATTCCCGAGTGGCCAGCAAATTGCAATATCGTAGTATGCGCTCCTCCGATGGATGTTGCGCCCGGTCAGTTTGCTCGAGCTTCTGTGCAAAGCTGACCTCTTCGGGTATAGCCGGTGATACTCTACGCAGCAGTTTGCTCTTGCACAGTTGCTTATTCCAAGGTCCCCCGTCTCTGACTAAGACTTGAGATGAAGGCTCGCCGGTGGGATAGCGCAATACTAAGTTTTGATAAAGAGTCTACCCGGCTATTCTGTGCGGGAGGCTCCGGCTCGATCCTCTTCGTATGTATATGCAGCAATGCCGACTGGCAACGGGGCTCGCGGAAAATTCTGAGAGATTCTGGGCCTTGTCAGCCTCGGTTGCCTACCCGTAAAGGTAACATACATCATGCATCACGTCGGCTTCTCAATGACGATGAGGACCTGTTTTACCTTGCGCCCTTAAACTGTTCGCTAGACCTGCTCCTTCCCTGCGGTGTCCTTACACTCATACAAACTCGTTACCCTTCCCCCGCGTTGTCCCGCTTTGGTCTCACGATTCCCCAATCGCATAGCACACAATCGTCTTCGCCCTGCCTCACAATGAACAACAACATGAACACCACCGATTGGGACTCGATTTTCGAGTTCATCGCAGAGCCCATGAGCTTCGAACAGACCGACCTTCCCGAAGCGTCTGCCGTCAACATGCAGAACGCAACTGTACCACCACCCCAAGTCCCAACGCCTCCGCCGAGCACTCTCCTCCCTTCCCCATTACCCCTGCCGAACAACGCGCAAGTCCAAGGCCCCCATTTCAACACTGCATCGCAAGGAAGTGGGCCCACGGTGGAGGAAAACAGGATGGTTTCCGTCTCGACAACCTTCTTTCCCGGCTCCCAGACACACATATCCCCTCCGGACCTCATCATCATCTCCTCCGACTCCATTTTCTTCTACGTCGAGTCGACCATCTTACTCAACGCCTCATCCAACGCGTTTGGTGGTCTTTTCCCACTATCCGCAGGACATCAAAGTAGCGATGCCGGCCCGATTGTGGTGGTCCCAGAACACTCCGCTGTCCTCGATGTCATCCTTCACACCGTTTACGACATGTCATGCTCTCATCATTCCCCCTCGTTCGACTCGCTATCAGCTGGTGTAACAGCATTCTCCAAGTACGGCTTGTCTATTCCCAGGTACATCGCTCCTTCGACCCCGTTATACTCCCTCCTCCTTTCACATGCACCCCTGCGCCCGCTCGATCTGTACGCTCTGGCAGCACAGTACGACCTCCACGATCTAGCCGCTCCCACCTCGTCGCACCTTCTTTCCTTGTCTCTTCCGTCTCTTAGCGACGATGTGGCAGACCGGATTGGCTCGCGATACCTTAAGCGCCTGTTCTTCCTGCACCTCGGACGCACCGACGCATTGAAGCGCATCCTCCTGCAACCCCCGCATCCGCACGCGCCAACGCTAACGTGTAGCTTTGAAGATCAAGGTCGAGTCTCGCGAGCGTGGGCGCTTGCGTCTGCATACCTCGCTTGGGACGCGAGACCAGGTGAGCATCAGGACGTCCTCCACAGTGTACTAGTATATCCGGCTCAGATTCATTTGCACTTAGATCTATCGATGGTTGCGTTGCAGGCAGCTCTGGCGCCGTTGGGCGAGAAGGTGCGGTGCAGCCTGTGTCGTGAGGGGCTCCAGGAGCGGCTAAAGAATGTCATTACGGAGTGGTCTATCGTTAAAGTGAGTCGATGACTCTTTGCATTGATGGCATAACTGAAGATCTGCAGAGGACAATCTGAACATCTTAAATTCATTCATCGAAACCGATATCCAACCCTCTACTAGTGAATTCTTCTGTAAAGTTGAGTACCCCTGATACACGACGATGCGCAATATCAGCTCGCGCCATCTTATTTTCGCTGTGTTTTTTCTTCTTTCTATATTTTTCATCAACTGTTGTACCGCTGACCCACCCTCTGTTCCAACATAACACACGCATTTTCCCAGATATGTGTATTTCTCGATACCATCTTGATTACCATTGATTCCCGACTTGCGACGCAAGTTAAGCGCTTTCCTGACCTTCTCTGTACTATCACAGCACCGACCCTGTTCCACGTGTACTCATAGTCTCATATATGTCACTACCCAGACCATCTTCGACGCTTACATATATAATGTATATGTTAACGTTGACCGCAACTTGATGTCGCTTCTAACTGCGAACGAAAACCCCGTGCAGAGCACACGGCGTGACGGTTAGTCTTTTTCAAAAGCGGCAGTTGTAAGAACTTGAAGGTGCCGCTAGGTCTACAACGTCCCGACGGCTTGAATGCGAGCCGTTGCATGAACGGTATAGAGAGGACACCTACAAAGACTCGGACGTGGTCAACTCCGAGAGTGCTTACTAACTTAGGCGCAACAGTACAACGCTTCTGTGTGGAGCGGCCAACTCGTTATAGAAAGTCCCGGGCCCCTGCTCATCCTTTACGCCAACGTCCCCGGCTCGGACCCGAGTGTATGAAGGGCGCAATAATTACTCTGTAGCAGAGGGCTCCGGCGGCTCAACATATACACATCGGATGGACTCAAAGTTTCAACCAATTTGCAACCAACCACCTGCTTAGTGGTCGGATGAAATAGTGGTTCTGCGACCAATCTGCAACCTTCTGGACTTAGCTTTTCGAATGCGCCGAGATATAAGAACTCGACAAGGACCCCTCTATATTCTTTCTCCCCTCTCTCGTTCATTCCTCTCGAAGAACGTTGCATGTCTACCATTGGAGAAACCGCTGACTGGGACTCTGTACTCCATTCTATGATTGTGGCAGAAAGCTTACGAATTGAACAACTGCCCGAGGCCGTGCTTTCACTATCCGAGGACTCTGGCTCTGGGACAGCAACCGTACCTCAACTACCAACGCCTCCGCCAAGCACACTCTTGCCTACTCCCTTTCCCTTGGCTCCTTTACGCCATATCTCTACTACTGAACCCGAAACTACCACAAATGAGCACGTTGCAGACGAAGAAACAATTATTGCCGTTTCGACAACTTTCTTCCCTGGCGCTCCGATTCACCCGCTACCTCCTGATACTTTTCTCGTCTCCTCAGATTCAATATATTTCTTCATTAGCTCCGTCATTCTACTCAACGCTTCTTCGAATGCGTTCGATGATCTGCTCACGCCGACCCTTGGAAGGCAGAGCGTAGGCGCCGGAAAAGTGGTGAGCCTCACGGAACACTCTGCTGTCGTTAACGTCGTCCTTCATGCCGTTTACGACAGGCCGTGTTCCCACCATTCACCTGCTTTCGAGTCGCTGGCAGCCGCAGTGGAAACAATGCCCAAGTATGGTCTATCCCCCTACACATATGTCGCACCGATGACCCCGCTTTACTCTCTTTTCTTGATGCATGCACCTCTGCGTGCGCTTGACCTGTATGCTCTGGCCGCCAAGCACAATCTCCATGACCTCGCCGTGCCGACGTCATCTCACCTTCTATCCTTGGCTCTGCCATCTCTTACTGAGGACATAGCGGAGCAGATCGATGCGATATATCTCAAGCGATTGTTCGTGCTGCACATGAGCCGCACGGAGGCTCTGAAGCGCATCCTGAAGCCACCAGGCCCACACCCGCACGCGCCGACCGCGTCTTGCAATTTTGACGATCAGAAAAGGGTCGCGCGTGCGTGGCTGCTTGCCTCTTCGTACCTTGCGTGGAATGTTACACCAGGTACGCAATCGCATGTTCGAATTTGTTTCCGTCTCACTGACGAATCCGAAGACTTATCAGCAGGTGCGATCGAAACGGCACTGGCGCCCTTGCAGGAGTCTGTATCGTGCACCTTATGTCGACATACCCTCAAAGAGCACCTTAGGACCGTCATCGTGCAGTGGTCCATGGTAAAAGTGAGTGAACTCTTCTTTTTATGTCAGTGTTCTTACTGATACCATGCGTAGAGCACAATCTGAGCATGATCGTGATTTCTCGGCCACACCCAAAAATACCACGGGGGAACACGCACAAAGGCTACTGTATCATATAACCTACATTCGGGACTCCATTTGCATTTTCTTATTTGCTTCATATAACATCGCTGTGAGTAGTTGCCTTCATCACCGCATTTTCCTCGAATGCTGACAGCGGTCGAAACACTGTTCTCCCTCAGTCGATCTCATATTCAGACACAATCGCATTCTTACTTTCTTGGTTATCAAAAGGTCGTACGTGACGGTTCATTAACAAGGCATTTTGATTGGATATTCCCCCAACTATACACGCACACCATGAGGCATGGGTTTTCGGCTCATCAGGCTACGTTATTTAAATTCCAAGATATCCCCACTAGCTCTTTCCTTTGCGTGGTTTACCCCCTATATCATTTCCCTGGGCGTATGATGCGTCCACTGTATCCCGTAGATAGCACATGACATCTCAATCAGTTTTGGGTTAGCAGGTTGGCACCTTCATGATTCACCTGGGATAAACAACAAGGCGTAGCGTGTGCCGGAAGTACCCATATTTGTCTACATGCAATCTACATATGACCTGCTCATTCAATTCTAAGACGAGGAAAAGGAAGTTGAGACTCAGATATTGTCCCGAGTAGGTAAAACTGGAAATTCTCAGAAAAAGAGCTGACCATCTGGGGGCGAAACTGACATTATTTTCATAGTTTCTATACACTGACTACTTTCCTCACCGCTACCTCATATAAAGTTCGCAATGCAATCTAAAGAGTGTACCTGAATCCACTCCAGCGATCACCCTTCTCGCGCCTGGCGTCCTCGACGGTCGCAAAGCGCCCGTTCACTTCGTGGCCGCCAGGGATGCCGTTTATGATCTCGTCGCGTTCGCCCCTGTCGCGCCGAGCGTTCTCCATCTTCAGCACGATGATGTACCATAGCGTAGAGACCAGTCCGATGCCGATGTACATCAGGACAATACCGTGACCGAGTGGGTACCACGGCGTCTGGTTGGCTCTGTAGACGTTGGAGCTGACTGCGCCTTGAAGGATGCCCCTGCGGTAATGATCGAAGTTAGAATTGGCGGTCAGTCTGTAAGGCAGTAAACGTACAGTGAGACTACCATAGCCATGGTCACACTTCGTTTGTACGTTCCTTCTACATTGTTTCCTACCCATGCCCTGGATTGATGTCAGTCAGAACTCGCCGAAGGATAAAGAATAGCAACTAGCATTGTATTTGCTATAATCAACGTGGGTTAGCGAACGGATTCGAATATTCAGGGGTGAGCGTGCACTCACATATGCATGGATAGATGCCGCTAAATCCACGCGCCGTTAGCCAAGGGTGTGATGAAGTCTTACATGACGGTTACCTGGCTGAGAGGTACACGGCAACATACGACAACGTCGCATTTCTGGAGGCAATCAGGATGATGTACCCGGCTGCACCTTCAAGGACTTCAGTCAAGCGTATGCGTGAATCTGCTGGTTTGCTTACTTATGGACAGGCAAGTGCTTGTTACGGTGCTATATGAATAATTGCTGTAACTCCGAGTGATAGAGCTTACAAATTCCACCATCCGCGGTTCCCGTACCGGTCTGCGAGATAACTCACGCCGCATGTAAAGATACATGCCATGACGTAGACAGGGACGGTCAGTAAATTTGCGGGGGTTGCTTTGTAACCTTTGGAGAACAAGGGCTTGGCGTTAGGGTGAGAACATGAGCAGACCAAGACAAAAAACATACCGAGCTATGGATATACGAGAATACCAATGAGATCACTATACCAAGAGGTGGAGTACCATGACGTACCTCGCTGATAATACTTGGTAGAAACAAGGAAAATGCGTACAGCGGCATACCGCTACCAGCAAAGATGACGACTGACTCAACAATCGTAAGCTTCCAGCCAGCATAAACGTCAAGGACGGGGCTTACTGCCGAGGTATGTATAGGGGTCGGAAAGACTTTGCTTCACCGCTTTCCAGTCGAAGTTCTCTCCCGTCACGCCCATTTGCTTATCCTCCTGTAGTCTGCGGATGACAAAGACCTGCTCGGCTTCGGTGAGAAACTTGGCGTCGTTAGGGAAATCAACGATGATCCAGAACGAAAGAATGCCGAGAACGATGGTGGCGAGGCCTTCAATGATGAAAATCCATGCCCAGCCTGCTTTGCCTCCGAGCCCATCCATTTCGGCGATGGCGACCTATAACAAAACGATGATGAAGGAGAGTCACGACGTTTGGAGAGGCATGCTCACGGCCAGTAATCCGCCGAATGCTCCTGAAACTGTAGCAGCCGAAAAGAAGATAGACGCGCGAAGGCCGAACTCAGATCGTTTGTACCAGCTGTGAAACTGGTTAGACTGTCGATGCAGCCGTCACGGCCTCCTACGCACCAGGAAAGGTAGTAGTTGACGCCAGGGTAAATTCCAGCCTCGAAGGCGCCGACCCACCAGCGTACAGCTATTGGACAAGGTTAATCAACTCATACGACTGCTGTGAAGGATGTTTACTCATTAAGCCACCGTAGTTGTGCACGAGTCCTTGGGTTGTCTACAGCAGCTGTTAGACGTATGACGGGAAGACAATTGAGGCGCTTACCATGGCAATTCCCCAAAATACCATTAGAGTGGAAAACCAAACCGAAGGTTTCAAGCGCCTTAACATGAGGTTCGAGGGTAGCTAAACGTACTAATCATTGGCCACGCTAATTCCGGGAAATGTGTAGGCAAGACACGTACCTCGAAGGCAGCGAAAGAGAAGAAAAAGATCGTCAGAGCGAGGAGGTACTGGGTGTCGGTAATGTTTAGATCCTTCTCCATGTTGTAGAGCTGTGTAAAGGTTATGTGTCAACACGATGGCGCATATACTGTATACACTAAGTATAACTCACTCTGGCATTACCGATACTAGAACGGTCCAGGAAGCAGAACAGATATAGTAGGGCTGGCCATGGAATCGTCCTCCAGTCGAGCTTGCGTATGAGCTTGCGCTCGTTGATGTTGGACGTGTCCACCTCCGGGCGGTAAAGACTACTCTTCTCATCCTCGGTGCCAAGTTCGACTTCCCGTTCCGAAGAGTTGTCCTTTCCCAAAGAGGGAGGGTTTGAGCGCCCTACTGGAGACGTCATTGTGTCGGTACTCCTCTGCACTCGGATGGCGATGGCAAGGAAGAAGAAAGTGCGACTCGAACTCAAGCCCCATCTGGGCAAAGAAGCTGATAAGACGAACGCGGGATTCTCCACGGTCCATGAGGAATGATGGACCCCGGACCAAAAATGAGACGTAGCCACAGGGGTGGAGTTGCGAAAAGCAGACCGGCAAGTGCGCAATGTACCGTGGAAGATAAACGATACCACGGCATGGCCTTCAAATCAGAAGCGTGCAACGGGCTTGGCTCTGAAGGTATTGGCTGTTCCTATGCAAAAGTCAATGGTTCGAGGTAGGAATATCAACGCACGTACTTTGTCTCTCTCCGTACATTCAGGACGATCGTATCCTTGCTTGATCACAGCCGATATCTGTTTGGAATGTCATATCAGTGAGGTCACAGGTGGGCCGTCACCGGCCGGCCTGCGAGATGTCGTCTTCGGGCGCCTACTGGCGCCTTATGTCCGAGCACATGCAACACTCGCGCAAGTCTTGACGGTATATTTAGACCATACGAACGACTTGCAGTACACAAAGCACTGCAATAAAGAATCAAAAAATGTCAGTATGTCTGCTGAGTACCATATGCCACGCAGGGAAACTGCTTTCCTTTCTATAAACGAGTCGCAAGCGAGTCGCCTTAGGGAGAGGTAAATATACACCCTGAGAATAGAAGTGTTGCGTCAATCAACGCCATCCATAGCTGCAGAATCCTCATCGCTCAGAGAGGTAGTTTCTCACAGGTAGCGTGGGATGGCTAGTGGACGGAGTGTGCATGTGTCATTGGAGGGTTGCGTCGGGTCGGGGACTCGGAGACTCGTATGTTTTGGTTTTGTTTACTCCTGTTGCGATGGCGTTAGCAACGCCAACAGGTAAACAAGGCCAAATATGTAATCCATTTGCTCCCCCTCACCAAACCGTCTTACTTTAAGCATATACGCGTAGTAGGCGACGATCAGTTGCATCTCATTTCAAGCCATCCACCATATCCTTGAGCAGGTTTGATCTACGCCTAATGTGGACGACTTGACAACAAGGTTAACTCTGACGGAAATGCGGAGAGGTCGAAAGCGTGTTGGTTTAGAAAGGCAGATATCGGAAAGACGGTGGAAGCGCAAATGTCACTTTACGATATGGCCGGCTGGAAAGAACACCGTCTATTGACACAAGGTTCGTTCCTATGAAATACATCAGGCTTGTGTCGCATCAAACTTTTTATTCCGAAGGGCAGATCTAAGCGCGCGACGAGGTTTTCTGCGGGGATTCTCAACCCGATCACCACTTCCGTGGGGTGCCCGAAGTGTTGGAACTTTAGGCAAAATAGATGGCCCCACGGCTCTACCACTACCTCATGCCACTGGGAGGGCTAAGGGGAAGTAGGTATTCGACAGACGTCGAAGGTCGTGTCCCTAACTGCGCGTGTCGCTTACGCCTTCATAGAATCATAGTGAGTGGAGTACATATGACGTTATGAACTCACCGCTAACGAAGGATTGTTCCTTCTGAAACCACATTAGCGATTTAGCAACGAGAAGCTCGTCGCATCTCCACCGTTATAAGAGCGACCCACGTCTTGGATATATTTACGATGTCTTCCCCAACCTATCGTCTCTCTCGTGCATCATGCCCTGGACACGGCCAGTGAAGACCTGGCAAAGCCCTTACACAACTCCTTACAATCTTATGAAAGACAGTACGGATCAGCCATCCGCCGTTAGGGAGAAGGCGCACCTGGAGTCGCTCTCCCAGCCCCATCCACCCTTCTCAAACAACTGGTGATTGTAGTTCTACGCCTCTCCCGCATCTTCGAGCTGAATTAGCCATACAACAGGACCAAGAGGATTCTGACAATCTATGCACTGGTCATCATGACAACCCTCGTTTATTTCAACCTTTTCCCACCCCCCGAACCCTCTGGGCACTATGTCACTTCGAACGACACTTCCGATCCACATTTCGGTGACATCCTTGAGCACCCACCTGGCGAGGTTTACGCCCACCATCTCGACAAGCAACCCCGGCCATGGCCTGTGTCTGATGCCGCCGCTGGCAACGTGGCGCAAGATTCCTCACTTGAAGCTACGGCTTCAGTTGCGCTGTCGGATGGAAGTGAGGGGGTTTCTAGTGAATCGGTTTTCGGAAGCCCTCGTGGCGGCTCCCGAGATCCCGGAGTAGATGAAACATCCGATCGGTTTTCTCCACTTTCGAGTCTTGGCTCGGACGACGACAACGCTAAGCGCGCTTCGGAATCAACATTTGCCGATGACTCCGCACCTGGAGGCGTCCCTAACTCCAACCAGAACACGCGTCAAGCAGTCCTTGAGCGCGACTTCGAGAAGACGTTCGCACAAATCTTCGCTGAGTCCCACGAGAAAGACGCATTGGAGGAGTCGGAGGAGTCGACGCTCGTTTTCAATAGATGGGAGCTTCAGAGGATATGGCTATGGGAAATTCTGAGCGGGCACCATCCGAGTAGCGTCAAAGGTGAGTCTTGCTTATTCGTGTACAGTGTATGTCTTAACACCTTGGATTAGTCCCCCGGCAAATTGGGCTTCGATCACATCCCGCGAATCCGGCTCTGCCACGCCCGAAGAAGGATGCGAGTTCGCGTTATCGCGCGTACGAATCGATCGTCATGAACACTCGCGGAACTGGACCTCAGAGGATATACGAGCAACTTCACAGCGCGTTGGGCGTCACTTATCCGCCACGTCCGGTGTCAGGAGGGGTTATTGACATGGACGTCGTTATGGAGCACTGCGCGTATTCGCAGGGCAAGGTGCGCTTTGTGTCACTATGTTCAGTATAAGCTAACTTACCCGACCTTAAGTACGTCCGCGATTGTCTTGAGATGCTTCGCTCTGGCGCTGGGCTGGACGATGGCCGGCAGCTTCGCCGTGGCAAGACCGGAGACTGGCAGTACATCTACAGGGAGCAGGAGCAGGAGACCCCTTCGAAGCGAGTAGATATGCCTGCCTTGAAGTCACGAGTCGTGAATACTGGCCTCATTCGAAAGAAGGATGCCGAGTGGGAATCGCCCCTGGTACTTCCCGAACCTCTAGTATACACACCGCACACCAACAACCAGTCTCCTTGTAACCCCGAAAATCCTCGCATTCTTCATATGTTCTGGACCGGCTCGTTCACCGACTCGCCATACTCCTCTTTGCTATCTTGGTTATACACGCAGAACCTGGGTCTACACCAGCCAAGCGATGCGTCTGCCTCTGAGAACATCTGTCGCCCGCAGTTTTGGATGTGGATTAACCCAGGCCCAGCGGGAGCGCTGCCGAATCCGTCGGCGATGGATGACATGCTCGAGAGTCTACGCTCGAACCCTTGGTCGGCGCCTTTCCTACACCCCCGCTTCAACGATATCATCCAGTTCAAGCTATGGAACACGACCGAGCAGCTCGACTCTATCCCAGAACTCCGGGACGAGTGGCGACGACACAGAGACGCTTTGCTGAACTCGAATGGGCGCGTCATCGACATCAAAGCCGGTGACCAGAAGGTCGGCTCGGACTCGGCGGACTCGTACGATCGGGGATCTGTCGTGCTTTCGGATATGGTGCGCTTCATTCTGCTACACCGGTTCGGTGGGATATATGTCGACGCGGACACGATATTCCTCCGTGACTGGGAGGAGTTGTGGGGCTGGACGGGTGCGTTCGCGTACCGGTGGTCGCATCTGGAGGCGTACAACACCGCCGTCCTCAGGATGAACAAAGAGTCTGCCATCGGATCGTTTGTTCTTCGTACTGCGCTACGCAATGACATGGACTTCCACCCGAAGAAGATTTGGCGCTATCTCAAGGACGCGCATCTTGATGGCCTGCTACTCCGCGCGCCGGACGCGCTCTTTGACTCTGCCTGGCTGAACACGGATAGGTTGCAGCTAGATCGCCCTCCTCAGCCTTTATTCAGGAGGTGAGCCTACCTCCCAGTCTTCCGTTCGACCGTGGCTTACCGTTGCGTCTACAGTTTTGCTCAGTTCTTCGATACCCCCACCAACGCGAGCGGTGCCCCACTGACGCTTGGATTTGAGGGTTTCTTCAGGGGCGCATACTCGTATCACTTCCACAACTTCTGGTACGTAGTCCGACTTCATCTATGCCCAATGGGCCGCTTATCAATCACCTTTAGGTGGAAACCATTCGATCCCGCACGGAACTGGCCTGACCTGGGCTCTCGCTTCATGGCCGGAGAGATCGTGGCTCGTGGTGCCGCGAACCCAGACCTCGACCCGGATGAATGGGACGACCTGTTGTCAGACGACAAGACGGACCTGGACTGGGCTACTGTACTCAAGCGTACTTTCGAGTCATTCGTTCGAGGCGAGCGCCCAAATATGTACGGCGAGTGGATCAGGTGGTAACCCGCGAGATTGAGGCAAAATACGTACGGATTTTAGCAATCATACCCTACTACCATAGTAACAACAGTATATAATATCTTACTACTTAGTACATAGAAGCTTGCAGCCATGCGAGGAGTTGAAGGCCTATAATATAGTAGAATCGAAAAGATGATGCCGCGGGCGTGAACATTGACACGTGATTGCATACGAGACCAGAACTTCAACCGCAATTGCCGGCTGCTGGTCTCTTCGTCTCTCTCCATCTCCTCTCTCGACTGGCAGGCCGGTCGCAGGTTTTCATCCTCAGCTCGCCTCATCATCCCTTCATTCTCACTGGTAAGTAACTAAACCCTTCCTCAAATCCTTGGACCGCAAGTTTGGAGGATGTACGCACGGGTTATCAGTGCTCTCCTTTCGCTCTTGCTTGCCGTTCGCCCATGGTTCGTCGACCTCGCTTATCACACGGACATCTTCCTTCTCGGATCCTCCTTGCTATTTAACACTGTGAAACCTACCGTGGATGTCTCTCCGCCGCCTTTGGTCCTTTCCGACCACGGCTTACCGCTTTTCTCGGGATACGCGGCGCTTGACCCCCTGTTCAGTCCGCATGCGGAGTGCTTGCCATGCGATCCTTCTGATCCAGACAGTCCTCGCTGCTACTTTGAAAGCGTCTATTTCAACCGCAGCCTGCGTGTCAACCCACGGAAAGCTCTCTACACGCTCTTTACCGAACGCCTGCACTCCTTCAGTGGGGGCGCTGATCCACTGGGCTCTCTCCCCTTCGATATGCGTCTTGACCCCCAGGTCTCCATAGCTCTAGCCCTTGTCTTCGCGCTCTCCGCAGTCTGGACGCTCTTGTTCAGTGTCGCGGGTGCAATGCATGCGTTCTCTATGTCGGGCTGGTGGCAAAATTACGTGTCGTCTACGCATCCTACCCTGGACGTCCCGGATTCTTCGGATACTCATCTGTCGCACCTTACTCAGAGCCTGCTTTCTGTTCCCCCAACATCAGGTTTAGGTGGCGACAGAACTCAAGGTGGTTCGAAGGATGCCATCGCGAGACTTACCGAAACCTCGGACAGTAACTCTGGTCGACAGGGAAGATGTCAGTGGGAAGGATCACCCCTTGATACTTCTGTTCTTTCGGCTGCACTCTCTACTCCAGGCATTAGTCCGCGTCAACCTTGGTCACTCGCGCCAGCTGCTTCCATTGAAGAGCTCCATACACACATGCATCTCTTCTCTCCAAACGTTGGCAACCGTAGCTCCGACTCTGAGCTGGTACCGGAAAGGTGTCCCGGGAGTGGCGACGGGTCACCTGATTCTGGTTATAACCGCAATGAAGTCTCAACTTGTCCTAGTCGTAAGGCATCCGCAAACAGCGCACGAGGCGAGGTGGGAGCACGACCGTTGCCGACCTCTCCCTCCCTTACGGTCAACCCCAACGATGACTTTTGGATGGACGCCGTGAACGACCCAGACTTCGCGCCGCGGTTATCGCCTCGCTCGGACGGTACGATCAGCAATCCCGGCTCGGCGAAGAAGTCCGGTCGACCGGGCCGATACCGGCCTGAGAAGCGTGTTGGTTTTGCCTTGACCAACCAACACACACGCTCGCAATCCCTCGATAGCTCAGCTACTAGCAGGTACGCTTGGTTCTTTTGTGCTTTTTAGACGTCTGATATCTGACACGTTACTTATGCTGTATCGCAATGTGCAGCCCATCTCCCTCTCCACGCAATCCATCTCTCCTTCCAATCGTCTCTGGACCTCGTAGGTACGCAAAGTACGTCCCTCCCCATCGACGCGTGGAGGGTGAAATCAAGTGGACCACTGCTTCTCCTGGGCCTCATGGGCTTTATCTCGGCGAAGGTTCCGCACGATCAACGTGGACGCCGCTCGACCTTGAGCCGCCCCGTTCAAACCTCATTGCGCTTACCGACTTACTTAGTGCTGCGCGGTCTGGTGGTCAGCTGGATATGGAGGTAGCAGGAGATGATAGCGAGGGCGAGGAGTGGAAGGGCTGCGATGCTAGTCCTCCTGACTGGAGAAATCATCGGCGGTCTACGAGCTTGTTCATGTGAGTGGTGATGCGCTGGGCGTTGGCTGTGTCATTCTTTTTATAACATTGCTATTACGCTCGCCTCATTCAAGTTTACGCGTCGTTTTGTACAATTGTGTTCCGTTTAATCGCTTTGAATAGACTCATAACTACCACACCGGTGAGGATGTTTATGATATATCTCGTGCACAGGTATTTGACGGAATGCACCTCCGTAGGTGCGCCTATGTCTCCGTGCAGTGTCAGTTCTACCATGTTTGAAGTGAGTTTCCATGTGGAAGGTTGCTTCATCATTTTTTCCGATCAATGTGGCTCCACCTCGGCGTCTAGATTGTAGACATTTTGATGGATATAGCAGTTTTGGGAATACGGTTATAGTAAAGTAACCAGTGCTCGACGACGAAGGGAGGATCTTGCAGTTAAGCTCCACCATTGTTATCAGTGTTCCTATTACAGCCCCTTTCCGTAGGGTCGTGATCAATCCGGGCGCCCTTCGTATGTTTCATGCCTTAATATGCAGTGCACATAAGTAGCCTTATAGTGCACACACTCCCGCAACCTCTAGCGAACAATCTTCGACGTGACCAGCTCCCAGCGGGTTGAAGACACCCTCGGAATGAGTTTAGTTGAGAAATACGCCAGCTTTGTGAGTGAATGGTAATGTACGATGACTTGTTGCAACGTCTCACCCCGAAGGAGCAATATCCTGTTAATAGAGCGTTCTCGCAGCGTTGGCGCTATGCTAGCCACTGGTTGCTGGCGTTTTCTGTCACGTACCTTCTCGGTCTAGCTGCCCTCAATATCGCTCTAGTAGGTGAGTATATACTATTCAAGCCTTAGCATGCTAGGTTGAGCTCATGCTAAAAGATAGGCTATGACATTGTCGTGGTGATGTCCGATAGTTTCAATACTACACAAGATCTGTCGTGGACTTTGTCATGGAAAGACCAAAGTCACGGCTGCCAGTCTCACATCTTTCAAGCGGGAGATTCATTCAGAACTAATATCTCTGTTTTCACATATAGCATATACAATGTCATGTTGCCATCAGTATCAGCGAAGGACTCGTATGGTCCTCAAGGGAGCTTTGCTTACTCGGGTAACTCGCTGGCTGAATGCGATGTAACCGCCGTAGAGCTCGTTATTCTGCCCGGTGATAGGTCGGTTGAAGCCAACGTAAGTTCGTAGATGCCCGTCAGATGCATTCAATTAACTATCATGAAGGTAGCTATTACTTGCTCAAGCCTGGGTTTCGAAGCAAGTACGTCATGGACTTACACAAACTGGAGACCATTCGGAACCTTGTCACCATCGACGTTCCCTGAACATAGCTTAGCACGGGTTATACTTGATGTTTTGCATGGGTTTGGGCGTACGTTGAGCAGCCAAACTCTTGATCACTCAAAACTGAACGTATTTCAGGCGACGCGTACAAGCCGATTTACCATCGGCGATATGTATCCAGAAACAGTGATCCGCCTAGCCAGCTGTACAAGGTCACTGCCTTGTTTATGCCATCTTGCCCGACCTGCAACAACGAGACTCCAATTATTCCTATCACCTGGTACAACGCCATTGCACTCTCCGACCTCAGCATTGTAGCAGATCTGGCCAACTATCAGAAAATAGTGGAAGCTGAACCATTGACGTTGCAAAACATGGCCCAAGTGTTATATGCGGCTGTAAGACTTGATCTCGGGCATTGGACGCCTAATAATATACGTATTCGTGGGGCCCTTACGAGTGCGTATTATTTAATTCTGCACAGATTCTTACGAATAAATCCGTACTGAATGATGCCATTATCCCTGGTCGAGAATATGCTAATGAGACTCTCGCATCCGATAAAGCACCTGCGTATTCCAACCTAACGTCTCCTCCATCAGCAGATGTATCGACGCCTCCTGCAGTCGCTCAAATGCAGTATGCATGCACCGTCAAACAGATGAAAAGCGGAGGAAGTATGTTCATGAGCGTTTCAGCGGCGACATTATCGATGTTTTTGTACGCATCTGCCCTAATCGTTATCAGAAATGACGATTCATTTGGTTTCAGATCGGCATGGGGAGCTCTTACTGCAATCTTGGCTTCTGTTGCAAGAGGCCGCGCCGGTGGTAGGCATTCCTATAACACAAAAATTCTGATGCATCTCCTCTTATGTAATTCATTATCAGCAAATACCTGTACCGCTTGTAGTGAACTTGATGCCTCTGTCGACAATCTCAAGGGCAAGAGTTCAATCACCAGCCGCAATAGTGATGTTTCATCGACAGACACTATCCCATTAGTACTGCCAAGCAGAAAGCCTTTGTAATATTTGTCGACCTAACATAGACTACTGTGACAATGGAAAGCAACGATATAAGAGTGGAAGTTCGCAATACAAACACCAACCAAGTGTTACTCAAAACCGCTCAGCCTATTCCCTTCCTCAAGAATTTATATCATATAAGGATTTATGCTATAGAGTATGTTTTATATCCCGGATTGCTTACCTATCAGGTATCCGACCATTATTCAGAGCTACTTGCCGATGTGTCCGGATACCTAGACTGCCGCAACGAAAGACTAGGCTGTTCCGTTTATTTAACCCCACTCGTGTCTTTCAAGGCCTTCGACCTCATCTTTGTGCAAGATTAAGGCAAAGGCAAAATATGTGCATTCAATCTCTCCGTTCTTGTTGAGAATGATGAGCCTACTTAGAGCTAACAAGTACTCGTTAGGTGCAACTGACAAACACGCAGAATCGATACCAGCATCAGGCTCCAACACAGCTGTTTGCTGCTCGAGGCAAGGCTTCATCCTAGAGCGGGGGACATAGTGATATGTGATATTTTTGAATCGATCTCTCATTGGTTCTGGTGTTGAATATATCCAAAGTCCGGAGTGTGCTTGGGAGATAAAGTTCATCGGGGATTGAAATTGGTACGCATTCGGTCAAGTCCCCTATCTCCCAAGATCAAGGACTTTTATCAAGTCCCTCAATCTCTGATTAAACATTGGACTGTGCGGCGACCTTGCACACGAACCAGACGGCGTGTAGGAGCCTGTACCAGCATGTGCAATTGCCGGTGTTCCGGGAAATTCCGTGCGCGCGTAAGTCAGCTGCCTCTTGAAGAGCTCAAAGCTTGAGCTTGAATATTGAATCTCGATACTTGAAAGCTTGAAGCTTTGGAGGTTCACCGGTCACCGGCCACCGACGCCTATCAACTTCAAGGCGTGCTGAGTTGTACGCATGCTGGCTCTGAGTAAGGTAGGTGCCGCCACAGACCCCGTTCCGACCGGCATACTATCGCTGACGACTTTGCCATCTGCTGACCCAATGTCAAGCGCGCTATGCAAACCGGGCGGGGTATAAGAGCTAGCGTCGCTCTTCTCTCCACTTTATCGTATTTCGCCTACCCCAAATCCGCACCACCCATCCAGAAACACAGATCTTGAAGGAGCGACCATGACCATCGCCCAGCCCAACGCGTCTCCTGCACTATTCCAGCCCCTTCGCGTCGGCGCTTCCGAGCTCAAGCACCACGTCGTCCTCGCCCCGCTCACACGTTTGCGGAACCACGCGTCGCATGTCCCCGGCCCAATGTTAGCAGAGTACTACACCCCATTGCCCCGGGATTTGCGGGACGTACGGTGCGCCAATGCCCGTCGCAATGATGAGATGCTTTGGGTTGAGCGTCACCTCATTGCCCGCACGGTTAACGACAACGGTCCAGCGTTTCGTAGCCTCGTCAAACACGGGCGCGGGGACGGATGAAACGGCCGAGGACGTCCACACTGTGAGCTCCTGCTGGATGGCATAGGACTCCATGAAGTCCGCGAGTTTCGTGCGGCCGATGTACTGGGGAAAATTCTTGGGGTAGGATTGGTAAAGGACTGGAAAGTCGCAGGTTAATGGGGTAAATTCAGAGCAAGTGGGAGAGTGTGGACGTACAGGAGCTGAAATGAGCCGCAAGATGGAGAGTAAGGATAGGGTATCTTGAAGTTCCATGTCGGAGCGTAGGAAATTACATCGCCGCCGTGGTTTCATCTGCATTGTGAGTCACAATGATTCTCTGATCATTCCTGCTGGCATTTCCTGCGGCAGGAAACGGACTATGTAGGTGACTGATTGATGGTGTATGCATTGTACGGAGTTGGAATGCCTATAGGTCGAAGGATCGGATTAACGAGTGTGGCATTGCCTTTAAATTTAGTGTTTAACTCCACTCAAGACTCCACTGTGCATGTCCTCCCAATCGTCGACACTGGCCGAGTATACTAGGCTTCACGTCGCTTCAAATTGGGTGAGTCCGGAGCAGAGTGGCAGCGGAGAGGATCGGATGCCTCATGACAATCCCCGTGAGCCAGCTCTTTTCCGGCATCACGCGGAGCACACTGGTATACCGCCTTCTAAACAAATGCCGGTGAGATAATGATCTTAGGGGAGCGTCGTTTACAACCCAATAAACGCAAACACCAAGTATCGTTTATCGTTGTCCCCCATCGAGCACGACTCTGCGACGCAGCTGGTGTTATGATTCCGCCAGGGACACCCGTGACTCTCTCCGCACATTCGGTGCTACCGCAGAACGTCCCACCTTCCCTTATACCGACGTCAGAGTCCAGCATGTCGATTGGGGGGATAAAGCGAGACAGTGAGTTCTACTTTGAAGATGCCATATTCTGTGTAAGTAACGCGCTAGTGCCTATTACAACGAACGTCCATTAACCTGGGGTTAGGTGGAGAATACGCTCGTCCGGGTTCCGTACCAAACCGTATCAGAACATTCTCACAAGCTTTTGAAGCCTTTCGCGGACGTGTCTCCGCACGGCGCGAGCGCGATGGCCGCCCCGGACGATCAGCCCATCAACCTCGATGTGTCAGTTGAGGAATTCAGGCAGCTTTTGAAAGTTCTTTTCGCGTACAGGTTCGTATGGTCACTGTATTGATATTGTCGATGGATGGTGCTCACAGGATGTCGACAGGGCATCAAAAGATGTGGAAGGAAAACTACCTCGAAGCGTAGAAGAATGGACATCTGTTTTGAAGCTGTCCGACATGTGGGACATGAATGTCATCCGCACGTTCGCCATTCAGCGCGTGTCGGGTCTAAAGATGGACCCCGTTGAGAAAGCAAGACTGGCAATCAAGTATAAAGTCAGCGAGTGGTTAAAGGAAGCTGTCAATGATCTTGCAAAGCGATACAATCCAATGACGGAGAGAGAAGTAGAGAAGCTGGGGGTGAAAGTTGTTCTGAAGATTGCTGAAGTGCGTGAACGATTAGTTGCGGTGTCAAGTCCTTGGCCGGGTACGAACCGCGGGGTTTTCGGTCATACTACGGCAACACTCTCCGTTGGCAGGCGCACAGCAGGTCACCTAGATTTCAGCACGGAGATCGAGTGTGTGTTTGGTGACTTATCCGAATTAGGATTCCCGGGACCCGAGAAGAAGAAGAAGAAGAGTAAGAAGAGCAAGCACATGAAGCAACACGACGAGTAGCTATGTACCTTGATAGGAGCCGATAGTATACGCGAATCATATGAAACCCATGAGTTCTCATTAGATGATCACCTTATGGAAGTCTTGAACCTCAAAGTTCAGTACTATGCGCAAGCTAGGCGCCTCAGAGGCTCCAAGATTAGAGTCTATAATTAGAAGGGAATATCAGTTCAAAGCTTAAAAAGGTCGCACTATCCCGCTTCAAGATGGGCAGTTGTCCTTTGCTGATAACCAACCTTGGCAGCATCCACGATGCTGCAAGACGCCGCCTTTGACTTTCTCCCGGCCACGTTTTGCGCGAGTATCTGTGACTGTCGAGTAACAATGAAATGCTGATATCCGCCAAAACTATCCCTACAGGTCGAGAGCACGCTGTTCAGAGTTCCTCGTGGAGTTCTAGCAGAGCACTCTGAGGTGTTCCAAGGCATGTTTAGCCTGCCTTCCGGAGGCATTTTCGCGGAAGGTATGAGCGATGAAAATCCGATCTTTCTGCGCGATATCGTTAGTCAGGACTTCAAATCTCTCTTGAAGGTCCTACTTTCTAGGTTAGAGACATCATCAAACATCTACGAGCTGGCTTGGGACTGATATGAGTGATCCTGTAGACTAGTTAACGAGTCTGGAGACAATTTACCGTCCTCTATCGAAGAATGGACCTCCGTACTAAAGCTTTCACATCTTTGGGGTATGGAAGATATATCTAGCTTGGCGGTGGAGAAGATGTCGGCTTTTGCCATCGACCCCGTTGACAAGGCAGCCCTCGCAGTTCAATATGACGTAAAAGCTTGGTTGACGCCGGCCCTAAATAACATTGCCAGGCGCGAGAAGCCACTTACAAAAGAAGACGTGGACAAGCTTGGGCTTGACTTCGTACTCAAGATAGCTGAGGTTCGCGAGAGCTTGACACGAGTGTCCACTGGCACAAACTCTCACAGCGACGACAATGGAGATCCATGTGTTCAGAGCGACATTGGGGTCGGAAAGAGATATGTAGGGGACCTAGACTTCACCACGAGGATAGACGAGGTGTTTCATGATTATCTTTCCTGAAACTTAATGTACAATGATATATGACAGTTGAACTAATATCCATCTGCTGAAATTCAGTGTTAACGCTGACGAGTGTCGTGAAACTAATTACATATTCAGATTTGTTCTATACACACTGTTTCACGCTTGGTCCTCGTGTGGCGCTTGCCCTATTCTTTTCTGTCGTCATGGCAAGGATATTCCCGCTATCCTCCTAGTCATTGGACTAGACTGAACACAGGGCTCGAGTTCGGAGCTCTCGAGCGGCTTGGAAGTTGAGAATCAAACTTATGGCATGAAAATACCAGCGGATTCCTACTTAACTATGTCTAATAGCGGAGAGGACAGCTGACTCATGCTGAACGTAACACAGGTCATTGCTAATACGGATTTATCTTATGAAACCCCAAGTCATTCTTGCCAAAGTGAAAGTTACTGTAGTCCGTAGCGAGGTATAGCAATACGACGGATGCACAGTCTGAGTTACGAAAAACGGACAGGAGGCATACGCGGATGATGCCGATGGTGTGCATAAATAGCGATCGATTGGTTGGATATCCAACCATTCGAAGCTCTTGTGACAGACATGAGAAACACCTTATCAAGAGGCGTAACCCTCATTGCGATTGTACGAACACCACACAGATGTCAGACCCACAAACAGATATTATTCGAGATGAAGACTTTTATTTCTCGAATGTCACATTTCTCGTACGTTACAGTACAACTTATCATGATACAATGAAGGGTGATCCTCATTAATCACAGGTTGAAACCCGCCTCTTCAGAGTGCCTCGCCACGTACTAGTGGAATCTTCCGAAGTATTCAGCGACTTGTTCCATTTGCCTACCGGAGATGAGGGTGTAGAGGGGGGGACAGACGAAAAGCCCATAGTTCTCGAGGAGATCTCTAGCAAAACGTTTAAGCTACTTCTAGGGGTTTTATTCGAGAGGCAAGTCATCGCTCTCTACTAGAGCTTCCTGCAGACTCTCACGACCATCCAGGTCTGCGTCCTCCAACCGTCTAGACTTCACGGCAGACGTCCTGCGACTTGCTCATCAATGGCGCATGGACGACGCTACCAAGTTCGTGATGTAGCGCATGAAGTCGTCGACTTTGGATCCTGTCGAGCAGGCTGGATTAGCTTTGGACGTCGGTTGCAAGGACTGGCTGGTCCCTGCACTCAACGAGCTAGCCAAACGAGAACGCCCGATGACAAGAGTGGAGGTTGACAGACTCGGGATAGATGTAGTGCTGAAGCTGGCAGAGGTACGCGAAAGCTTGACTGCTCGGTATGATGAAACTTCGAGGTCTCCCTATTCTCGGGGCAGTGGTCGAGCTTTCCTTGGTGTTGGGCAGAGAGTGGCTTCCCAGCTGACCTTTGAAAATAAGATCAGAGATGTCTTTCGCGATGAGATTAGTAATTGTGCGTGGTGATGCCGGAGGCAACTTTGCATTACTGTTGCTACATCATCCGTGATATGCATAACGAAGTAGTACAGATTAGAACTAAAGCTTGAACTGGCTAGAAAGCGTCTACATCTATTATCTCGCCTTCCTCGCATCTGAGTTGAGGATGCCAATCAGACGTCATCGATCTTAGGGACATCTCTCTTCGACGCCAGTCAAATCGACACCCAAATCCTGTATGCATGTCATTATACACCACTCTGCTCCGCGACAACCTCAATCTGCTCCGCGATCTTCCAGATACGCGCCCTGTTGCGCATGGACGCGTTCGCGCGGCACCTCTGGAGATACGCCCACGCGTCTTGGACTTTGTCCATCTCGTACCGGGGCTCGGTGTCGGATGTGGCGGGTGCGAACCACGGCGCGCTCCACATAATCCATGCGGTTGCGAGAGCGTTCCTGTTGGGCTCGGAGCCCATCAGCATGGAGCGCGTGGTCCGAGAGGTAGATGCGAGGGAGAGGAGAGATGTGAGTGAGCATTCGCGCGCGATTATATGGAGAAGTTCGAGTGGAAGTTTCGCGATTGCGGGGGTGTTGGAACTGCTGAGAGGAACGTCTAGAGACGTGAAAGACAGAGCGCTCTGGTCGCAAACGACGTCTAATGGGAACCTGGCCGCACAAGACTTGGAAACCGCGGGCACAAGTAACTTGGAAAACGACGAACCTATCAGCCCTCATCCACATCCAATACCCTCCACGGTGCACGATAGCATCTTTAATCATCTGCACGTCTCCCAGTCCCTCCAGTGCTTTCACCTCTTTGCATCTCATATGTGGGATATAGGTGATGTCAGACTGCGCGCGCATCTCCTTGTCGTTCTCGCCATAATCGATATCATCCAACCCTTTCCAACCGGCCCCCGTCATATCAGAGTGTCCTTGGTGCATCGCGAGGCGCCAGAGGCGCTGTGGAGTCACGCGGCCGCGCGTCGCGAGATGCAATATGGGCAGCGCAAAGTCCTGCACCATGACGAGCAGGCCGACCGAGACAGAGTAGTTATCAAAGTCATCCTTCATCACAGGTGGGCGAACGAGGCCGTAGATCCAGTCCACGGGGCCATTGCAGCTGCAGTTATCCCGGAGGGTGATTGCGGAGTCGGGTGTCTCGAGCGCCTCGCCGCGAGGGGTGGTAACTTCGATGAGGCGCTCCTTTGCCTTGACAAAGTCGCCTGGCGAAGAAGGGGAGTGGTTGAGTCAGAACGCGGCGAAAGTAAGATGGCGAGCAAGGCGCACCTATGACTGTCACATTGTCGATCCCTTCCTCGTCCTTTGCTAGCTCGCGTATAGCCTGCAAGACGAGGGGTCCCAGCTGTGCGTCGTCCGTATCGTCCAGTTCCACCCATTCCTCGTCCAGTTCCTCGCCGTATTTCCAATCAAAGTACTCGTCGTATTGCTGGAGCTCAGAGGCACTTTCAGGAGTGCAACCGGATATCTAGATGCATGAGGTGAGACCTGCGGCAGGAGGTTGGCGCATAGTCATACGGCTTACGAGGCAGTGAGTTTTAGTTTTACCCATGCTCAGTATTGTTCAAGCCTGGAGGTTCTGATACTGCTAAAGCCCTGAAATGAGATTGGGCGTGTGCGGTTGAGAAGTTCCTGTGCATGTGTGAGGGAGGATTGAGATTGAGATCTGAGAGGTTGCCTCAAGGTAAGGCAGTTGTTGGGCAGTTGCCAATCAGAGCGGAGCCTCGGTTTCTGCAGCTTGAGTGTAATACGTAAGCAGCAGATACCAGTGCTCCTGGTTTTGGTCACCAGCTCGTTCACTTAGCTCACTTGTTCTTCCTTCATACTCCATACTCTTATGTTTTATCTCATGTTGATGTTGTTTGCTGTGTTAAACACGCACTATAACTGTTGTACTTGGAACACTCAAACACGTAGGACACACTCTTATGTTGGGGTAAAGGCTGATAGGTCGGAGGGGTGGATTGAGCCCATGATTAACAAGCTGCGGACTGTCATTGGTTGGCGTAATGAGATACATGTTATAAAGTGATAGATCAATGCTGTACATGTTGGATTGATTCCAGATGTCATATTTTTTCGTACGTCATTATTGAAAATTTGTGGCGACCTTGGTGGCGACGACGGTTGTCGCCCTGTTTCTGGTGCAAGTGCTCGTGAAAGCAGGAGGTACTGGCTGCGCGATATGGTTGAATCGATCTCTTTCCGACTCTTGTGAACGTCAACTGTGGCCTGAAACAAGGAGGAGGATTGATGTGGATTCGGTGTGGCAGTGATGTTAACATGTGAGCACCGCCACGACAAGCGCTGGCCCAGGCACACGCACGCTAAACCGCCACCCTGAATCGACCGGGCTGATTCAAAACGTCCCGCTCGTTCTCTCCCCTCCGCCCCCTCCATCCCCGCCCCCGCCCTCCTCCTGCGCTAACAGCCTCTGTCGACGACTACGCAACGTTCTACGCAGAATGACCGCACGACGGTCCGCATCCACAACCTCGCTCGCAAAGTACGCGCGTGCAGAGCCAGAGCTCGCCAACCGCTCCTTCGACTTTTGTAACGCTTTCTGGGGCCAAGGCGATGCTGGCGTCGACGTCCTCTTTGCCCGCATGCGCGGCGCAACTCGCACAATGGAGGAGCTAAAGACCTTCTGGAAGGAACGGTGAGTCAGCGCTCATGCTGTGCAACCTCTCGCCCACCAACAGGTGCTCATCGGCCAGCCAGGTGTGCAATCGAGGACGACTACGCGAAGCGACTCCAGAAACTTGCAAAGATGGCAGTCGGGAGAGATGAGATTGGGTGCGTCTTTCTTTTCTCTGGCCATTTTCTCGTCATTATGTACCCATATGACACCCCTCGCCTCGTGGCTGCCTTCCCCCCTTCGGCGCTTGTTCTCTCATTGCGCCACCTCAGCGGGATACATTGAACATCGGTGCTCATACACGCATCTTACACAGGGAGTTGAGAAACTCGCTCGATACACTACGACTCGAGACCGACAAGCAGGCTAGTTACCATCAGCAGCTCGCACAGCAGATCAAACAGGAGCTCGAATCCTCCACGATCGCCTTCCATGCCAAGCAACAGCACCACAAGAAGAACTACCAAGCTGCGATTGAGAAAGAATTCAAAGTCAAGCAATCTCGCGAGCAGCACGCGAACAAAGCCCGCGACAAGTATAGGAGCGACTGCCTTTCCATCAACTCATTCACCGCCCAGTCCACCCTTGTTCAGGGCAAGGAACTCGAAAAGATCCGCACTCGTCTCGAACGCGCTCAACAAACCGTCCTCGTCAATGAGAACGACTATAATCAGTTCACGCGCGTGCTACAGGAGACGATGCAGAAGTGGGAGCAGGATTGGAAGGCGTTCTGTGATAGCTGCCAGGACCTCGAGGAGGAGCGACTGGAGTTCATGAAGGACAACGTCTGGGCATACGCCAATGCCGTTTCGACCGTTTGCGTCCAGGATGATGAGGTGCGTCGCACCACTGCTCACGTCAGTAGCGTTTCGGGGGCTCACTATCTCTCGTAGGCCTGTGAAAAGACGCGTCTTGCCCTCGAGCAACTTGAGCCCGAGCGCGACATGGAAAACTTCGTCCAGAACTATGGGACTGGCAATGGCATCCCCACACAGCCCGAGCTCGTCAACTACAGCAGGCAGGGAGCGGCACAGCCATCGTCGGACGAGCCCACCACCCGACCTTCCAACTTCCAGCGTGTTTCAAACCGCTCTGTAGCCGTAAAGATGCCTCCCCCACCAGCCGAAGAAGATCCTCAGGATAACGTTAACCGCGCTGGCGTTGGTGCCGGAACCGGAGTGCGAACAGAGAGCCCCATGGATAGCCTCGCTCGTAGCGGGACCACGCGCCAGCCAAATGGCTCGAGCGTCAACGGACACGTGTCTCCGCAACAAGACGCGAACAGGCGCAACAGCACGTACGCGGCCCGTCCGATGGATGCTGCAGACCCGTCCGTGAGTAACACGATGCTGGTCGTCGGCGGCAACGCTTACAACGTCAATCCCGACGCGGATCCTCAGCAGCAACAGCAACAGCAGCAGCAGGCCAGGAACGGATCCATCTCTGGACAAGGCTCGCCTCCCGGAGACCAAAACGATCCACTCTTCCGTCAGATGGCGGAGCTCACAAGCGCTGCGAGCACCACGAGGCGCCCGACAATACGCCAGGGCACGGAACCTGAGCGTCGCGGCACCGGCGACTCGCTCGCCACGCCCTCGAGCGGCAGCCAGTCGCAGAGGCGCGATTACCGCAAGTCAGCTGAGATTGTCGTGGGGTCGTACCCTGTCTCCCCTTCGCGCTCGGCTTCACCGAACCCGCCGACGGCGGTGATGGCACAGCCACCCCAGCGCAGCGTGTCGCCCGCCGCGGCGAACGTGCCTGTCGAGGAGGTCGTGAGCAACTACCAACGCCCATTCCCTGGCGAGGCTCGCAGCCGATCCAACAGCTACATCGCCGCGCCACCCAACGCACAGTCCCCACCGGCGCAGTCGCCCTCGACGCAGACGGCGCCCAATGGGCGGCCGCTCAGCCGGGCCGGATACGCCGGTATCGGCACGGAGTCGCTCATCCAGCGGCAGCCGTCTCCTTCGCGCGGCCTGGGTGCTCCTGGCGGGGCAGCGTCACCTCAGTACGGCAGCCAGGGTCACAGGGGTCATACACCGTCGAGCGATCTTGTTCGCCAGGGATCGGCGATGCAGCGGCCTGGGAGCGCTGCTGCAGGGAACCCTATTGGCATCTCGCTGGACGGGCACGGGCGCGTGCGCGAGGACATCCCGCCGTGGCAGCAAATCCAGCAGCAGCAGCAACAGCAGCAGCAACAGCAGCAGCAGCAGCAGCAGCAGCAGCAGCAACAACAACAACCTCCACCCCCGCCGCCGCCCCAGCAGCAACAGCAGCAGCAACTTCCGTCGCAGCCGTCCGCCCCAGGGGGGTACACCCAGTCGCCCCCATACAGCGGGTACAACGACCGGCAGATTGCCCAGCGCAACGATTACGGCCCGCCCGGGTCCGCACCCGGGTACGGAGCGCCCCCGCAGAGTGCACCTCCGGCCGGGTACGGCGCACCGGCTCCTTACGGCGGTCCGCCGCCGCTACAAAGCCAGCCCAGCTACGGGCAACTGCAGCAGTACGGCGGCCCACCGCCGCCGCCGGCGAGCCAGCCGAGCTTCGGCTCGACGGGGTTCGCGAACGGACGAGGGCAGCAGATGCAGATGCAGCAGTACGGCCACCCTCAGGGCGGAGGGACTGGAGGAGGCGGGCAGTACGGGAGCTACGGCGGGGGCAATCAGTATGCGCGCTCGCCGAGCCCGCAGCCGCCGCGGAGTGGGGCGCCGCCGCCGACGGGTGCGTACACGGACGATGGGAAGCCGATTTTGTTCTATGGTGCGTTCTTCTTTCCCTTTGTCCTCGTCTCGCTTTCGAGTGATCTGATTTGGCTGACGGTTTGGTTGGGATGGCAGTGAAAGCGCTGTACGACTACGCGGCGACGATCGACGAGGAGTTCGATTTCCAGGCCGGCGACATTATCGCTGTCACTGACACGCCCGAGGATGGATGGTGGTCCGGCGAGCTGCTCGACGAGGCGCGGCGGCAGGGGGGGCGGCACGTGTTCCCGAGCAACTTTGTGTGCTTGTTCTAGAGCTTTTGACGGCGATGACAGCTCTCTGGTACATGCATGTTCTTTGTCTCTTTTACTGCTCCTTATTTGTTTCATGTTCCACTGCTTATATCTCCGTGTGTCCTCTCTCTGCCTATCTCGCTTACCACTGCCTCTCCCTCCCTGTCCCTCTCTCTCTGTTTCCATTTTCCCTCTCTCTCTGTTTCCATTTTCCCACTCTTTTCCTCGCATCATATCTATGTCCCTCGTTATACATACTGTCTCGTTTCTGTATGTTTCCCGATCGACCGCAGTGCGCATCGGTTTGAACATTGACACCTCTCGTACCTCCCTTTATATATCTGTTTCATCTCTGTGCTGAAGGTGTTATACCGCCACGAGCAATTATAAGTACTCGTTCTTTCATAGTCTATCTATTAATTTCTTTCAGTCTTGGGATGGATGTGAGCTGGTGGGCGGTGAAATTTCGCACGGCGATCGAAGTAACACCGAGCATCTTATCATCAAGTCGACTTGGGTGAAACATTGTATGGTAGTGTCACCTTCCCTTTCCTTAAGAATTGGGCTTCATAAATCCTTATTACGCCGAAATCGATTGAACCTGATTCGAGGACGGTCTTCTGCCGAGTGGCCGCTTATGGTTTCTTGTAATCTAAGTACTACGCAGTTTGGTTGTGACAGCCTTTGCCAACGGTCAGCCAGGTATTGCGGCTTTCGCTTACTTCGTCATCTCCTGCGACATGCACATTTCTTGTCATAGAATCGTAATTCGCTTGAGCACTCGAAGAATGTGCATCATCTTTAGGAGTCGTTTTCTCTTTTGAGACGTTACTGTCTCTCTGTTTACCATCTATCATCATCAAGGGTATCACTTGCGTACATGAAAATATGCTCCGGCCAAGATATTGAATATAAATAAACCCGTGCGGGCGTCGTTTCCTATCGACTCCCAATTCCGTGCCCATCCTCTTACCCTATCATTCATATTTAAAAGGAGGTCTTTAATTCAGGATCTTCAGTGTTCGCCGACGAGCCCTGTGCAAACATCATAATCGAGTTTGTGCGGATCGGGTTGGGTCCTGCGCTTCTCGCGATAGGCTCCCTGGAAGTGGTATCCTGCGTCTGGAAGTGCATCTCCGTAGTTATACCCAGGCCCATTCGAATGACGATCAACGAGAAAGCGATCCCCTGTGAACAACATCAGCATACATATGGGCGATATAAAGCGCTCTGGCATACTCACTATTATGGGCACGATCTGCTCATCAAATATAAAAGCATGAAAACGGTGTTTCCTTCGAGAGATAGTATACTCACCGCATTCATGACAATTGAGTAGTAAAACCATTCCATGTAGGTGTATGACTCTGCACTATAGGTAACAAGAAGACAAAACATCGAAATCGAGTATATTGCCCCAGACTCAAGGAGAGTGATTGCAACGGCCATGGGACTGGTGCGACGGCTGCCGTGTAGGTGTCGGCGTATGTGACGATAAAGATAAAATATCCTCGCAGCAATGAGCACTGTCGTGTATCATTTTTTTATGTTACCTCACTCGAGATATCTGGGCAAAATGACAGCTTACCTGTACAGCTGAGGTGAACTACGAAGCTAACGGCAAAAACAGACAGACTCGTAGGTGCTGTCATATTGCCCATAAACCTGATCAACTTGTCTTCACCTGGGTAGATTGGGTCGGCGCTCTCAAATATGATGTTAATTCTGTCAATGTACAACAAGACAATTCCCATAGCTATATAGTGCTTGTTTAACATTACTGGACACTTCATTATCAGATAACTCACCGATATTTGCGAGGAAGCCAGCGGAGACAGGTAAGACCACCCGTTTGTCATTGTTCCAGACTTTCCAGAGCCTAAACAGCTTACGTTGGAAGTTTAATTCAGTAAGTTAGTGAGATAATATAGTCACTCAACGAACATACCATAAACCCATCACCCAGCCAGAGCTGTACGACGAATGCGACCATTTCGATCTCCTGGGAAACTGCTGATTTGGTCAGGAGGTTCTGATAGTCATAAGGCGGCTGTGGCATTGAAGAGTTCCTAGATATGCATTCTTGAGCGCTCTCCGATAGCTGGTCCAGGAAACTATCCCAAATAAGGTCCACTGCATTGATATAGTTGAGAAGGTAGGCGTGATACAGAGATGTGCAGACGTGCTACGAAAGAAGTTATATAAATGCAAGGTCTCTGCCGGTCATGAATATACACGAGACTTACCAACGTTGCAATCACAAACATCAGGGCGCCTACGGCAAGAACAATGATGTTACTCCTTGCAGCATTACTTTCAGAATGTCGCTGTTTGGTCACAATAATGTAGATGTCCAGAGACAGTAGCACAGCGAAGGCCCCTGCAGATCACGTAATGGCCTTGAGTATAATGAAACTGTCGTATTAGTAAAGACTTTACCATAGAGAACAATCTCTGGAAGAATGAGCCAGAATGGAGTGAAGAGATTATCCGCAAGAGATAGCATTGGAGGGAAAACGTGAGGTACGAATGGGTTACTGGTGAATAGCACTATAAATACCTCGGATTTTAGGGCTGTGTGGTAAAACTTCACAGGTACACCCATGTGCATCTCTGATGCAGGAACCGAGTGATGGCAAGGAAAAGGCGCCCGGAATTCTTTATCAACAAGGCGTTCATCTCACCCCATTCTCGTTTGAAATCAGTCGAAGTTGGTGAAGCTTGACTAGCTTGACTTCCAATCCATTCACTCCAAGCCAAAAAAAAACGCTACACAGGAAACTTTACCCTTGGCTGAGAGGTGGGGATTAATATCAATCGCTACTAAGCGTGCGAAGTGGAGAAGCCATGTGGAATCATCGTGCGAGGACCGCCGAGGACCAGTCCGGTACGAGCTATCGTTTTTCATCATGTGCCTGACCAATACAAGCCAGTGATACACGATGGCCGTACAGCTTCATGAAATATATATCGAAGCTTGAACCCGTTTATCAGGTTACCGATCCATCTATACAGCAAGTCACAGGTCCGGCCGAAAGCTGTCAAGAGCATCCAATGATGACATCCCTGGTATGTAGGTGAGAGGCGGTGATGCGGATACTGACTTCTTGTGAAGAGGATGATGCGGAAACAATATCAGCCTTCAAGGTTCACGCTCGAAGCTTCAAAGATCGAGTCTACTGCGCTTAGAAAGGGTACCAAGTGCCATACCTATCCAGAACGGTGAGGATTATTGAACGCTTACGAGATGCCAATTTGGGACCAATGAGCCCGTCATCTTTGAACAAAGATGGTCGCATGGAGAAGCACAAGGTTTTAGTATTTTAATGATCGTTGACACCACCTCTCTCAAATACACCGTCCACCAATGATTGTGCGCACTGCTGTATATTTTCTTTTATATCCAGTGCAAATCAGAAGTTACGCCTTTTCCTGGTCTGTTAATGCTTCGTCGCCTGCGAACGCCGCAAGCCACGCCTTTGCGCCCCCAGCCATGACCAACGCCTCCGAGCTTCCGATACCGTGTTCGTTGAGATAATCTTGATACCTGTAGGAAGAGGATTAAGCCGTTAGTCGTTCGCACCATTGAATCGTAGCGAAAAGGAAACACACCACGCTGCGCATAACGGTCCACGCCCGCTCGAGCTGCCGCAGTAGAATATAACCTTGTTTGTTTCCTTGAACTTTTCGAGAAACTCCGGGAGATCATCGTAGAAGCTCTGAGCGGCGCGCTGGTAACTCCCTCGGACGTGTCCACCCTGATATTTTCAGACAGTTCGCCATTGTCAGCGCAAGACATGAGGTGCACAGCGGAGGAAAGGACCCACTGCGTGATCATCCCGTCTTACATCGATCACTGCAAAGTCGTGAGCACGGCGGTCCGCCGGAGCGGATTTGAGCAGTTCGGCAACTTCCTGAGCCGTTATTTGGCGCGGGCTTGACTTTGGGGTGGGATAGGCGTCTTTCCAGCTCTCCAGGACCGGGACCGCCGTGGATACAACGTCACCGTCAGATGCAGAAGCGTTGGCTTGTTTTGTCGCATAGATCTGATAGGATGCTTGATAAATCAGCGGTACGTCAGCGCTTGAGACAGATCCGTGATTAAGTGTGAGAGGCACTGACCAGCCCATTCGTTCACGTCCGCAACCTGATGCGCAATCGTAGATGTTGATTGCGTAGAAGTTCCGCTTGAGGTCGGTTTGCAGGAGGATGAAGGTCCACATGATGCTGGCTGGCAAGAAGATGATACAGAACATGAGGTCGATGGTTCTGGCTTAGCACAGCAGCCAATAGAATCGCCCTGGGTATATGCGTTTAGGTCACCTTTGGTATCTACGAACACGGCGTCTTCACAGTTGCGTCAGTTAAGCTATAGGAAATGCTTTATCAGAGTGGAGAAGTGGCAAACCTTGAAAGCCCGCGTTTTGCATGATCTCCCGATACTCATGGAGTTGAAGGGCACCTGATACGCAACCTACGTAAGCCTGGAGATTCACGCGCAGAGTTTCGGTGAATTCTTTCTTCGCAATGATCTGGATGGTTTAGGTCACAATGAAATGAGTTCAGGAGAGTAATTTAGGCGATGCCACATACATCATCCAAGACGACGCGACCACCCGGCTTGAGCACACGGTATACTTCCTTTAACAGGTTCGCCTTACCCTCTGTGGGCAAGAGGTTGATGACGCAGTTCGAGAGCACGCAGTCAACCGAGTCGGAGTTGATAGGCAAACGTTCATGCAGAAGCGTCTTCACGAATGAAACACGGGGAGGCTTGAGATTTCTCTTGGCCGCGTTGCGGCGTGCAAGGGCGATCATATCCTGTACCCTTATGATAAGCTTAACTTGATCGACGAGACAAGAGGCCAGGGAACTGCACGTACTGGGGACATATCAAGCCCTACCACCTGGCCCGTGGGGCCCGCCTTCGCAGCTGCAAGGAAAACATCGACACCGCCGCCCGATCCGAGATCAATAACGTTTTCCCCCTATTGACACATCGCGCCAGTAATGTCAAAACATAACACTCTCCCCGAGGCCTCGAATGTGATACGCACCTCCCTGATAGATGCTGTGGCCACCGGGTTTCCGCAGCTCAATCCCATGTGGGAGTCCTCGGGGACAGATTGGAGCTGTTCGGCCGTGTATCCGAACGCCTGCGCGACAGTATCGGCGTCTTTGATCGCACGGAGACCAATGTGTTTAGCAAGTGCGCAGGAGAAACAAAACTGAATGGCATACTTACAAGCCCTATCTGCGCCTTCCTTGGCCACGGTTCCGTACGCATTTCGCACTGCGTCCACTACTTCATCTGGGGATGAGGGAAGAACAGCGCCTGCGGACATTTTGGAGCGATCGAAAAAAGTGAGATGCCGCGAGTGCTATTTAAAAGGCGGACATCTGGGTTAGCGCGAGTCACAGTGCACTCTCTGCTCGGAGTCTGAGTCTTACTAAGAGTCTTACTAAGAGCACTATATCAAAACTTCCCCTATCACTGTATCAGACACGACTGTCGTGGCATCATCTGGCAATGGTCCAATGGCATTGGACGGTTTACCAACGGTTACCAACGGTTTAAACGTTTACTGATCGCGTCTCGCTCCATCTCGAACGTTCTTTCATTAGTGCGTGAAGCGGCACCTTTATGATATACAGTACAACCGGTTGCGACCTTCAAGATCGCTGTGCGGTAGAATACACTCGGAGTATAAAGTTGGCAGAGATGGTGGGTCATGAGGCGGGGAGGCCTGATGGGTGGGTGGAGGGTGATGCAATCACGAAGTCTACCTCTGGGGCGGCGCACTAAGGCGGCGGCACGCGCTAAGCAGACAAGCAAACAAATGAACAGGTCCAGGAACATCAGCACCCATTCTATCAACAACCCAGCTGCAAATGAAAGCGTCTATCGTTCTTCAATATCCCACATCCGTCCCCTATCTCACTCGATGCCATACAGGCAGATACAGCATGTGCATGAATCCCAAACATGCAAGTTCGCGTTATTGTGGCTGGATGAGCATCCAGCTGAAGCCATAACCTCCTCATCCTCGTCCTTGGGCGTGTTGCAAACGCGGCTGCTGGGCTATGAGAGTCTTCTCTCACTCAGCCTGAAATGGACTTCGCGTCGTGATGCCAAAGATAGATCGAACGCCATGGTGACTGGAAACAGAGTAAAGGTGGAGGTGAACATCTAGTTCTCTCTCCAGTTGTATCCACAGCCAGCACATCTGCGTGGGCGAGGTTAGCCGTTCCAAAGGTAAAATGCGAGAACTCGGGTATGAAACACTTGCCTGTAGACTGTGTGCGCGGTCCAGTATGGCCAAACACATGTAGGCACGGCATAGAAGCACACAGCACGGAGCGGCCATGAATCGTAATCGTACGGCACCGCACCAGCAACAGGCAAGGACAGAGGTCGGTTAACCAGCAAGAGATAGATGGATGAACCTTCAGAACAATCAACCGCGCAGAAAACGGGTGAAACGCACACGTCGTCATAGGCTCGTCCGCACTCCGAATCTGGAGCTGATAAAAGTATGCACGGCCGTGATTGCACTTGTCGCACGATACTAAGAAGCCGCATGAGCACGCCTTGTAGCAGCGTAGGAGATGGATGGATGGATGGATGGAATCAGACGTACTCGCAGTTGAATCCGCGTGCTTCCACATCTCGTCTCCGCCCAGGACGTCATCCACCTGCTTGCGCTTCATCTTCGTCCGCGAGGTCATCTAATCGAATGCGATGTGCCGAGTCGTTAGATGGGCGATGACGTTCCGAAGCGGTTGGGAAGCAGTTGGAGTGTGGAAGAGGACATATGGGCTTCATTGAAGGATGAGGGAGATCAAGAGCAACGACGAACGAACCTGCTTCGTTATCGGGAACTCGTACGCACAGGTGTTGCACGCCCACTTGTTGAACCCCGTCTCCGCGGAGATGACGAGGTGATTCGCGCACGTCGGGCAGAATAGCATAGTCGACTATGCGATCTCGAGACAAGAGGAGAGTATATGCTTTGTATACGCGCAAGATGAACAAAGGAAAGGCGTCAAAACATCACTAGCACTGCGCGAATCCGAGTTTCCTGCCTGAGACTTCGCGAGCGAAATTCGTCCAGCGACGAAACAAAGTCAGCTCGTATGCCCAGGCGCAATCTTCTGATTTGGATTACATACATGCGCACTCACACTGTCCTCCCGCCTCTCCGGGTTGGCGAACTTGGGTTCATGACGGGGGAAAGCTTGCATCGCCACCGTCGGCACGGCTGGATTGAAACACGGGCTCCGGCAAAGGGTCGAATGCCGTGGGGAGGGACCGGCTAAGCCTGCCTTCACTGGTCACCAGCGCTTTGCTCCAAACCCCAACGAAATGACGCATATATACGATACGTTGCTCCTGTCACATCTTCCGATAGGTGTTGTCCTTTTGGCCTCACAATTCACGCACCGACCTTTGCTGGAGCTTGTCAGACCGGGCGAACATGCAACGGACCAAGGCCGGTGGTACCCAGAGCAGGCCCTTTTCATTAAAGGTTGACGTTCCCAACGGCTTCTCTGAGTCCCCAGGCGCTTCACCTACGCACGACAGGCCGAGAAGAAAGGTGTCAAAAACGCTAACATGGGACGACATACCACCATGGCAGAGAGATAACGAGCACATCTTGACAGGGTATCGCCAGTAAGTCAGGTCATAGAATGTCTTGCGGCCTCTTTCGAACTTTACCCAACACGTTGACTCGTAGTGTGCAGAACAGTTGGAGAGGTTGTATCGGGTCTGTGTTTGGATGTGAGTTGAAGTATCTCCTTCTGATTTACGGTCCTTAAGTCAAGGCGCAGATCTACACAATGAGACTAGTATGTAATATGTCTGAATCTTGATCTCCGTGATTAAGTTACGGTTCCTAGTCAACATCCACTCCCATCTGCTCGGGGCCGCCCTTTTCTTGCTTATCCTATGTTCTTTTCAAACGATTTGGGTGGCCGGCTATGCATCCGCGTCATGGGTCGACACATCCCTCCTCGCTACCTTCCTTCTCTCCGCTATCTTCTGTCTGTCGGGTAGCGCAACCTTTCACGCTGCGATTGGTCACTCCGAGCAGGTAAGTCAGCCCGAACACTCTCTACACCGTAGCGACAGCTCAAAGACCAGCGACTGCCAAGGTTTTCCGCCAATGTCACGCTTTAGACTACTCCGGTATTGTCGGTGAGCTGACGTCTTCCATTGGCGAACAAGGCTCAGCTCACTGCCGTATTCAGTCCTCATTGTTGGATCCTTTATACCCTGCCTCTACTATGGATTCTACTGCGAGCCACTGGCCCAGACATTCCATTTGGGGTTGATATTCAGCGCTGGGGCTGGTGCGTATCGGCGTATTGGTCGCTGCACGTGTGTGCTGACGCAATTTCTTCCATTCCCTCGTATAGGCGCAGCATACACCGTCCTCAACCCTGAGTATGCTAAGCCCTCACACCGCGGTGCACGTACAGGGGTCTTCATCGGATTGGGGCTCACCGCCATTGTGCCCGTAACACAGCTTGTGTTTACTCGCGGCTCCGTTATGTTCTCGGAGATGGGGTTCGGATGGCTGCTCCTCTCGGGGGCACTCTACATATTCGGGGCGCTCATATAGTAAGCCCATTCTTTCTCCCTTACCGCAAAATCAGGAGTCAGAAGCATGTCTGACACATCATTACCGTTGCAGCGCAAACCGCATTCCAGAGCGCCTTTCCCCTGGGCAGTTTGACTACTTCTTTGCCTCTCATCAGATCTTCCACGTTTGCGTCGTCCTTGCTGCATTAGCCCACTGGGTGTGTCTTATATCGTCGTTTCAACACTGGCACTCGAAACCAGATGCATGCCTGGTGTAGGATTGACGGGAATGGCGCGCAGCTTTGTGTTTGTGCCTCATACCAGGCAAGTAGAAACATTTTCTTTCCACGTCATATACTCACTTATAGATCTGCTCTAGAAATAAATCGATTGTAGACTTTCCAGGTATTTGTGCAGCTCTGACGAGCCTTGTGAAGTACATTTAGGTGAAGATGTGCCGCGAGGAGCCCTCACGTTTACACTCTTCGCACATAGATTAGACTCCCTGGCCATCGGCGCGCACCAGCGTCGAAGGTGGCTCTTTGTTTTCAGTTCCCTATATCACGTTCTCCACTTCCTTGCAACGGTCTTTTACCACTACGCTACATTCATGTATTGTCTACCATATGGCACCGCCCGCGAGGACAAGAAACTAAGATACTTACTACTACTAACACTTTAGCTAAAGCGGCGCAAATGATACACTTGGGGCAAGGCATATTTCGCCAGGCACCTCACGGCTCCGACACATCCCGTTACGGACGGTTCCTGGGGCATCGACGATCTTCTCGCTGGAATGAAAGCTTGATGACGGCATGCTCATGGTGTGGCAACATTGCGCACCGGCGGCTCGACAAGTTCCCTGTTTGGACAGAACAGCTTCGGGTGCCTCGGAACTTTATCGTCTGTACATGGTCTGTCAAGCCCAATTGCATGGCAGCGCTCTGACCTCGGAATGGATGAGTTAGCCGATGAGGTCACTCCTTAGCACGCTCTGAGCACGCCGAAAACATATAAGAGCTGCATCGGGTCCATGGAGGGTAGAGTTGTACTAGGACATCCCCATCTCATTGCAACAACATGCATCTTCACCACCACGATAACCACGCTGACTCCCATGCCGAGGTTCGTAGCGCATCTGAGCGTTGTAAATATTCGCTGGCTTAAAGACAATTTCAGGTCGTCAACGCCCCGCACAAGGCCGCGCTCTCCCATGAGCTGGTCGCTAGTGCTGCTTCCTACGAGGTGCGACTCATCTCCCATCCGTCCTTGCAGGGCTCGCTGCACAGCAGGATATAATCAATGCATGTATGATACAGGCCATGAAGGCGTACGAGAAGCACGTCGCGGCCCAGGGCCACCCCGACAGCCACGCCAAGGCGAAGGAGCTCATGTGAGGACATGCTCACCATCCATCTCTCCCTGCTTCATCCACGCCCTTCATGTTGTTTACTAACGGTACAAAACAGCGCTACATTCAGCGGTGGCTTCATCGACCGCATGGTCGAAACCAAGGGTGTGAGTATTCCTCCGGTACCGTCTGGTCTCTCACAAGCTCCAAGCTGATGAACGTGTTACACATGTGCGCTGTGCTTATAGCTCGACGCCCTCGACAAGCAGAAGGCAAAGCACCATGCTGCTGCCCACGCGGACAACCACCTCCCTGCTGCTTATCCTGGACAGTTCTGAACTGTTTCTAAACTATAAGTGGGTCGTTACTCTCGGCAGGAAACTTATATTACACAAGTAATTTGTATCAACATATGTAAGTAATCATAATCCAACCATAATACGAGTGAAATGAATATGGTTTAGATACATCGTTGATCTTCTAATGCGCTCGATATTACAAGTAACAGATGCTGTGAATATTGGAACGAAACTGATGTGTATCAGTGTATTGTCCAGGTATTGCTGAAGCACCTTCCTGCAGGCCTACACAAGCGCTTATCGCTTAGTGCTCACCTCAATATTGGAATGGCCAGGCAGACAAGTAGAAGTACTGGTGGCGCGAATCACTGCGCCCCGTCCACTTGGGCGTCTTGATATGTTTTTGTTACCTCTATCCTCTACCTAACCATAGGAACATCGCATATCCGACAGCTCGGGGTGTGTAACCAATGTTGACGTGTACTACTAATCTCAAACTCCCAAGGTTGATGCATTGAGGACTGTGAAGCGCATTCTGGACTCCGCCTCCGGCAAGGGTCAACAAGTTGCAGGCACCGTAGTCAGCGTGCCAGCCAAAGTAACATCCACCTTCGTCGTTGCGTTTGCCGTCAAGCAAGCCAAGACGCGATACTTAATGGGGGAGGTGGCGCAGTTATCATCGCCTGGCATTTTGCTCAATCAGAGGAATGCCGGGAATGTTGGGAAGCTTGTGGTGGATAAAGGTGTGTTTGACGGCTTTTCGACGATTTTTAAAACACTTCGTCGAGCGCTGACCTGCGACAGCTGTAGCACACAGAGTACATGGTACCATTCGCGAGTACTTACTCGAGTCCGCTCCTAAAGCTCGGCTTCTGAAGGCACGCGCCTGGCATGGAGCAATGAGAAACCGGTGTGCCGTTATCAACGGAACCGCGGTCACGTCAGACCTAGGGAATTTGAGCTCGAATGTTGCCACGGCATAGCGCAAAGAAGACCAAGTAGGACCTTGCGCCTCCATCATGATGAAAAGGGTGAACAACAGGCACCACGTCCGCTATCGATAGCATACGACCTGTGAGTTGTTACGTGGAGTCCAACTGATAAAGTTGGTAGGCATTCGGAACGTTCAGCTCACGGGAACCCACATGCCGTTCTCTAAGTATAGCAGTGGTGATTGTCCTGGTTCATAGTTTGATTTATTCGCCTGCTAGTCGTTCCTGCGAACCTAAATCTACCTTGTGCATGTTTCTCAAAGCACGAGCAAGACATTCTTATTGTTGACTTGCCTGAACCAGCAGAGGGGCCATGCAATGGATGAAGGAAAGACGTAGTCCGGTCGCTCGGAACCGGGCTCCGGCAAACATTTGCCATCGCCCGGTATTTTTCGGGGTGACAGCTCGTGACATGTGACAGCCGTGTCGTTGAGCACGTTGACGGCCCGTGGAAGCCCGCTGAGGCCAACGCACGCTTTTGTCGCTCGAGGAAACTGCGTCGGTGCCTGTCGGTGCTCATCCAAGGGTTTACAGGATGCTAGGACTCTTTTCGATGTGCAAAATCCACTGCCAGCTTTGGCACCAACTCTCCATGCAGCAGCAGAGGTCTCGCATGTTAAGCGCCTAACGGCTGTGCTCTTTGCCGACGCTGCTGTCGAGCTAAGCCTAATCGCGATGGTCAGGCGGCCCCGTTTTCCGTGTTCAATTGTGCGCTCATGTATTGCTCTTGTGCTCATGTGTTGGTTTTAGTGACACACATCAACAAAGTCGCATCAAGCGTGCCGACAGCGTGCGCTGGAACAAGACCTATTCGATCAATATTACTCAAAGACAAGGTCAATAATTCCTGAAACAAAAGCAGATGCGACGTCCGGGCATGAGGCATACGTTCTATGATGACCCGATATAGAGAGAGAGGAAGGGGAGGTTGGCTCGGGTCAATGGCGAACCCGACAGGTTGACGACTACAAGAGTCCTAAGCTGTCCCAAAAGGGCTTGGGCTTGACAATGACAGGGTGCGTAACCTCGGGAGTCTTTGGATAGCATTTCTCGAGACGGACCTTTGCGAGTATAAAGGTCACCCTCCCATCGGACCTGCTATCCATTCACCCACCCGCCTGCCCCTTCGTTGTTCGCTCGCCTTTTGTTTTGTGCCACCGTGCGACTCCCACCTGATCGATCCTGATCCCCGTAGCCCTCGGCATTCTCTGTTGCGAGCTTAGCATCGAACAGCTTCTCCTCGCGCAGTATAAGTATCCGGTTCTCCATCCCGACCTCGTCGCGTTCGTCATCACTATCACCACCACCTCCCATATCTTCACTTCGCTGCTTCACGCACCATATCACTCGACCACCATGCGTCCTTACTCAAACATCTACGAACACCCCGACTTCTCCGTCTCCCAAGGGAGCGTCGCCACCCTGCGCGCAGTGGGGACCGCCCTAGCCGTCGTCGCCGCGTCAGGCGCGGCCGTGTACGAGATCGTGACGCACAACGGGACTACATTCGTTAGGTACGCGTCCCCCATCGGGCCTCGCAGCCACCTTTCAGAGTCCTCGTGCCGAGCCCCTTCGCTGACATTCATCCATAGCAATTTCCTCGCTTGAGGGGATCGTCGCCGTCCTGAATGATGCTCCGGGCAAGGAGACTCGGACTCCGTCGGGGCCGTGGACTGATGTATGATATATGATCCGAAGTCGATGGTCCTCGCCGCTAGCAGCGAATGGAGCGGTGCCTGTCTGGGTGGGTCAAGTGGCCTGATGACCAGGGCAATAGGGATGGGCCAGGAGGAGCGAAGAGATTCAGATTGCGTCGGAGGAGAAGGAAGTCGTCGATCTTGGGACACTCCACTTTATCACATGCATCGTGTGCCTTGTTATTTCGTTTCGTTTCATCTTGTTGTGTCTTTTTGTTATCCCCGCTGTTGTAACACCGGTCACTGTATCTCTAGTATCTGTAATAGGTTATTCATTTGTCTATCCTTCCCTTTTGTCAGATTCCTAACAGAGACGTCAAGAGAGCTGTCAAGAGCCAATACAGCTATGAGAACACGCCACGTGGCCACGGGCAGCAGACGATCGCATCGTGGGTCTGTCTTCGAACTCCATCATGCAGTGTGCATGGCATACCTTGGACATACCATCTGACCACCGCACGCGACGTGCAAGAGGGCTATGACACGAGAGGCGCCTTCTTACTGGCAGCAACCCGTCGTCAAGAAGCTATCTTGGGTTCGAAGGTTTAGCATAAGTTTGCTATACCTGGCTTCCCGCGGCGACCCATCCAAAGAAACAGGCTTCCTGGCATCTCCGATTCGGGATACATAGGGATTGAACCCAAGTTGCATGATAAGACGACGAGGGTTAGCACACTACCCATGAGAAGAAGGTGCTAGATGTAGGAGATTGACGAATGCCGATGGCCGGCGAATTTATATCGAATTCAGATGCGCTAAAACGCTCTATTAATGCATCGAAACCCCGTAACATGTCCTCGGTACTGCGTCATTCCCGTTTATGTGATTGAATTCTTGCCCATCATGCATGTACGCACGTCGCGTGAACTTAACGATGCAAGCAAACAGGGACAAAAATACTGGAGAGCCGGCGTGCTGAACGAGCTCATTCTACGAATCAATGGGTATAATTGAATACTTCACAGACCGAGTATACGTGTGAGGTGGGCTACATAAATGAATCTAGAATGCGTGTACATGCGTCGTGCGATGATGAGATATAAGTGTCTAATGAGATGCGAGCATAGTATGCGAAACCCCCTGGATAGACCGGAAGCGAGAAAGCGAGTAGCAAGTACATATAGATAGTCCGAACGGAAGCTCAGATCGTTCTCTGGTAGTTGGGTCAACACACGAATTGACACAGGCAAGTATCGTCTGTAGACTCACTTTTATGACGGACCACTGAACGATAACGTGGTTCAACCGAACCCGAAGGGATTCCCGGCACATACCGCAACCGAGCTGCTCCTTCAAGGGACCGAGCGCTGACTGCATGGCACTCATGGATACATCTGTGAAAGGGGATGAGTTAATTCGCGGCCCATGATAGCCTAGGTCAACACGTACCTGGTTGGGCGTCCCATGCAAGATACGCTGACGCCAGCGCCCAAGCCCTGGTAACCTGCTTTTGGTCCTCGAAACTACAGCTCTCCATCGACGGGTGCAGAGGCGGGGGCGGAAGGAGTAGACGTTTCAGCGCATCCATGCGACCTAGATGCAAAAAGAACAGCTGCCTGAGGTACTTTGACCCTATAATATCCGCCATCTCATCGCTGATGGATGCGAGAGGAAAGGACAGAAGATGGGATGATGTGGGGACGGCGAGATCGTAGACGTCGTATTTGGCGGCCAGCGCGTACACCTCGAGCGGGTGTAAGGGCGCGTGCGAGAGCAGGAGGTGGTATAAGGATGTTGAGTGAGCGACAAGCTTCTTCGCAGACAGGCCGTACTTTGGGAAGGCGGCGACCGCCGACGATAAAGACTCGAACGAGGGCGCGTAATGAGAACACGACATGTCGTAGATGCTGTGCAGAATGATGTTGAGAATAGAGGAATGTTCTGCGACCAGTACCACGGGTTCTGTGGCGTCGCAATCTTGGTTTGGGGATATAGACGTGATACCGTTGAATGCGTTGAAAGACGCGGCGAGCAGAACGCTCGAGTGGACGTAGAAGAACACAGAGTCCGAGGACAGAATGATGATGTCGGGAGGGAATGTGAGGATGTCGGCGCCAGGGAAGAATGTCGTGGAAACTGGGACAATTATGTCTCCATCTATTTCAGCGGGAAAATTGTCTGACGCGGAATTTTCGAACGAGTCTTCCTGAGCATGGGATAGGGGAGAAGAAATAGGGGAGATAACGCTGCAGGGAGGCGTCAGAAGCTGTGACAAGGCCGGCGCGTCGACGTGATCAAGACCAGGGGTCTTGACGAAGGGCACGGGGTCTGTGGCGGACTGGGAGGCACAACTCCAGTTGAGTGATTCCGTATAGGTATCCATGCGTAGATGTGTTAGAAGACGATGATATAGTAGGAGGAACGGAGAGAGGTGCGCGGTAACTCAGGAATGTAGACGGGTATATGAGCGTATGGGTTAGCACTGCCCGAGAAAGGAGACGGAAAGTCACGTACGCGGATGTTTTGGGACCAGCAATGGATCGTAGCTCGACAGTGATTGACGCATGTTTCCCTTGCCGGAGGAGGCTCCACTCAATTCGTCAAAGCCTGCGGTCCTCATGCCAAATGGCCACTGAAAAGAGCGCTCAGCGAGCGCTGAATTAATACGAAGGCGCACTTTCGGGGTCGGCATTCTTTGAGTTGCGTTGGAGGCACCATGATAGCCAAATGGAAAGACGCGAAACTTCGGCAATGCTCCATATGCCGTGTGCCAAATAAGCGATAATAGGTGATCGGCCCATTCGCGGACTCCGCCCCTGACACGCACCACGGATTCTTCCGAAGGCGCCCTAATGCTGAGATCTGAGAGGCGCGAACAGCTCACATCTTGTAATGTCTTTGGGGGTGGCACCAGCACATATCCAAATTCCATGTGTCAGCAGATCAAAGTGGCCTAAGAAGTGGGGTTCTGCGTAGAAGAGTTGTGACGTGATTCGGGCCTTATGCTTTGCTTGCACTAGTACTCCGCGTTGTTAGAATGACACGATTGGACGTTTACGCACATATGTGGAGGAATTTAAGGTTAGAGGTAGTGCTGTCCCATTCAGACTACAACGTAAAAGTCATCATTTTCTCGAGTCCGTCCAATCTGCTGCGATACGTACATACCTACTCGAGGGCTTACTTTGTTCAACCACATTCAAGATGCTTATCCAATACGCCACCGATGAGATGATAATCCACAGGGCATAATTTGATTAAGAGCACTAAGCTGAGTGAAGAAACAATCGCTTGTTTTTATCACCAACAAGATTTTCCGACCAGTAGGTGGAGCGCTTGAGCCTTTGGGCGTCTATCAGCAGGCGTCTATGGCCGGTCTGGCCGATCATAGCGTGAGACTTCCCAGCACTAGCTCCCGCGAAACTGGAGATCGGCCGGGCCTTTGTCTCCCTTTTAGCTGGCCTAGACGCCCGCGATTCTCCTTAGCGCTCGTCCAGGATCTCCTGCTTCAGCCCGGCGTTCAGCGCACGAATGAGTAGCAGCTGTCAAGCTCACGCGGTGACGATTGTAGTACTCATGCAGGTGCATCAGGAAAATGACACATGCATTTGCCGAAATGAAAACACTTTACCGTACTTTGCGGGTATTTGCCGCCGGTCCTTGGCAGCAGCGAATACAGTCTAAGTAGCAAATGCAGTTCGAATCGTCTAATCGCAGCAAAGCCGAGTGGATTGCACCGGTATCGAGCTAAGTTGAGCAAATGCAAATAGTATTCATAAAGATACCAATAAACTAAGTACTAAATTCCTAATGACGGAATCAATCTATAATAGCTCGAATGCATGATGATCAATGAAGCGGTTAATGTAGTATCCGTCGAAGCTATCATAGGACTGGTGACACGACATATCTTCGGAAATAAAGTCCTTGCCAAATACGGGGAGAAGGTGGCAGGCCCGTACCATCGAATTCACGTCAACAACAGATATGTCGCGTGAGCCGTCGGCATTGTGCTTGGGCTGTACTATGTACATGCCGGTGACATCGTCGCGTTCGTTAGAGTAGTATTGGTACCAGTGCACGACTGCACACTCGTAAGTGACGCCTTGATGACTGAACTTGAAGAATGCAAGGACGCGGACAACGTCCATTGCGAGCGTTCCTGGAAGAGACGCGTCAGTGAGCAGTAAAGCGCAATCAACCCGCGGAGCTTCGTTCCGCCAAGAAGGTGTGGATTGAATGCGCTCCCGCTTCAATCCACCTGTCCCGCAGTTGTCGCTCGGAGCTCGAAACGTCGAGACTGCGGAGTTGACCACGGTGATCTTCATTGGGGCACGCGGGCACTCCTGGACTGGGATGAAGACATTGTATCGAAGACGAGGATCATTGGAGTGGAGTATGGAGAAAAGAAAGCGCCGTGTCTGCTCAATGACGGTGGGGGTGTCGATCTCTCGGGCCAAGTCGGGCAGAGTCCGGGCCCGTTTTCGTGCTGTGTTCAGTTAGTGAGAGCCGATTGAACATGAGTCAGTGTACGCACCTCGGCTTTTCGCAAGCTTCACCTCAGCCATGAGTTCCATTCCGTCTATCCTTCCGACAGCTTTGATACGTTGTGAACCATTGAGTGCCTGCTCGTCGGTGGGGTCGGATTCGAGAGAACGCGAGTGAGGTTCACGATTGCGAAGGTTGTTGGGGTGTTCGCCGGCCTCAAGCTGGTTTTGGGGGATGGACTTAAGCAGCTCTTCGGCTGAATGACACGTCGTGAGCATGAGGCGACGAAGACGCTCAAATTACGTACCATTCTCAATGAGTTTGAGTAGCCGTTCAAACCCGTTCCACCCGAGCATTCCGCGAGCATCGAAATCGACGCGGCACGCAACAAGCTTGTCGAGTCGCGAGTTCGTAGTGAGCATCTGGCCAAGAGCGTTGAACCTGCTCGATCGGCGCCAAGGATCTTTCACGGCCTCGATGTGCTTTGACTCTGTAATGGAGGAACAGAGCCCGTTTGGCGCCCCGAATCGTTGTATGAGGTAGCGGTAGTGGACCAAAGAGTGCTGCCGGGGGAGGGAGAGTGTCATACTGACACCGGAGTTGATGAAGATTTGGCGGTACCGATGAAACCGAGCAAGTGCATCATCCATGTCCTTGAAGTCGTCATCAGTGATGACATTGCGCCGGACATAATAACAGAACTCGAGAAACGCGCGAAACGCGCGCACCATGTCAGGTGGGACATGGTTCTCAATTGCAGGGAGGTAAACCTATTCGAGAATTAGACCAGAGCTGCGACGGGTAAATGAAAAAAGTGTACCTTCATGAGAGCCTTTGAATCGTCACCGGTCCATTGTTTGAAGCCCCTCCCTTGGGGAAACCTTCGCAAGCCAGCGAAAGGTGCCGAAACTGCTATGCTTTTAAGATATGAGTAGGAGGGAATGGCGCAAAAAATAGAGACTCACCGTCGATCAATGTCGTCCAAAATCTGCGCAGCCCGCGCTTTCCCATGCGTTTTCTCGAGGTATTGTTCAACCCAGTCAACCAGGTGGTCCTTGAACGTTCCTTTGATGAGTTGATGGAGGATGTCGGGGGCTATGAGATCATGAATGTCGGCGCGGGGGAAATCATTGGTGAAAGGCTGTTGTTATCATGAGAGCGGGACCCAAAGACAGAAAATTTTGATGAACATACCACGACGTCCGCAATTAACCCGTACTCGTCCCACAGTACCCCCGGCGGAAGCTCCTGCACCAGCGTCTCATTATGCCTTTGATTCCGTTGCATACATTTGTCGTCGAGTTCATCCGGAAATGCCAAGCAGCTATGAACCTTAAGTCAAATGACGAGGTCAAAGTAATGAAAAACTCACCGTGCGCACCACCCCTGCACGATACCCGCAAGGAGGACTTGTTCCGGATAGTCAGCTATATATGGCCCAAGGCCATATATCACACGGCGATGGTAACCGTCGCCAAACCGAACCACTTCGTGTTTGGTCATGCCGGGCTTCAGCGACTGGAGGATGGTTGCGAGGGATGCGTGGAACAGCTGTCGTCGAAACTTTCGGAAGTTTGCGTCTGCGGAAAATGTCTTGTTGGCTGGTCAAAATGTATAGTAAGCTAATGACAGGGGAGACAAGTCAAGAGAGAAAAGACGCACTTTTGGGAATAGCAAGGAAGCCAATTAGAACAACTGCATTGCGTCGGGCTCGCCGTGTGTTATTATGGACGTTGCCAATAGATAGGTAGAGTGGATAGTACTCCGTGAGACCGGTTGCGACCGAGACAGTTGTCTTGTCGCTCCCAAGAATCACCGGCACAAACGTGGATCCGTGGCTTTCGGGGTCTTCGGATATCATGTTCTAGTTGTTTTGCGTCAGGAAATGATGGCGAGAAGATTGACTAATGATACGCACCACTTGCTCCCAAGCCCAATCCCCTGAGAACAAGTTCTCATACTGACGGACACCATCGTTGCTGTAGTCACGATAGGGGGTGTAGTCGAGGTCAGCCTTGAAGTCGGGACGCGCAAGCATCTCATGAATGACGAGACGCGGGTCTCGGAACCACACATCGTACTCGGCCCTCATCCAAGGCGGGACATTCTGCGCCGGCTTTGGGCCATTGTAGTTGATGGAGAACGACTGCCATGTTTTGTGAGGTTACGAGCGGGTGGTGAGTTGACTGAATAAGATAAGAATAAACTCAGTCCCGAGTGTCGAACACGAAGACTATATTGTTGTAGCTAACCTGAATAAGATAAGAATAAACTAAACTACAGTTAGCTATGATATGGAAATAACGAGTGTGGTAACATACCTCAGTCCCGAGTGTCGAACACGAAGACTGAGGGAAAAGACTACGGCGGCGACGCGCGTTGACGAGACGCCCGCTTACATAAGCTATCGGAAGGAATACTACCTCGGCGTACTCTAAACTATGCAAACGTACGATATAACAACACGCCCACTCGGCGAGTGTAGAATTCAATCAAATAAAATACCCATGCCTGATGAGAAACGAACGTGCTTCTCACGAGAGAGAGCTTTGGTGAGTACATCCGCGACTTGTTCATTGGTCGGAATGTACTGGGTATCGATGTCGCCGTCCTCGTAGCGTTCACGGATGAAATGATACCGGATGGCGATATGCTTCGTGCGGGAATGGAGGACAGCGTTCTTGATGAGAGCGATGGCCGACTGGTTGTCAATGAAAACAGGAGTCGGGCCGGGCTGGTGAACGTCGAGCTCGGAGAGCAACAGACGAAGCCAAATCGCCTCTTTGACGGCTGCGGCGGCAGCCATGTATTCCGCTTCGGTTGTTGACAATGCGACCGACGACTGCTTCTTCGACGACCAGCTGACAGCGCCACCAGCCATTACGAAAACGTAGCCAGTGACGGAGCGTCGATCCGTCGCGTCTGCAGCCCAATCGGCGTCGACAAATGCCGTCGGAGCAAGATCTGCGTCGCGCTTGAAAATGAGGCGCGCCGCGGATGTTCCTACAAGGTAGCGGTGGACGCGTTTGAGCGCCATGTAGTGCTGGAAAGCCGGGGTTGCCGAGTGCTTGCTGAGAACGCCCACTGCAAATGCGAGATCTGGGCGTGTTGCGAGCATCGCATACAT